CCGGCCGGGTTCGCTGCTCCCTGCGCGGGGCCGGGGCTGAGGGAGTGAGGGCAGGGGCTGGCGCTCCGCCAGGCGGGCAGTGTGCGCTCCCCTCAGACGCTGCTGTGGCGCGGACTTTGCCTCCCCGGACGGGCGTTCGCCCGAGCACTGAACAGAGTATTCAGCTCCAGTAATTGTGATGAGCTGCGAGTGAGGGCGCAGCCCGGACCCACTACAGAAATCCCTGTAAAAGGGCTCCAGTGAGTCCATCAGTCCGGATTTGCATGGATTTCCATGCTCAAAATTGATAAACTCCCCTAATATTTGCAAGCAATTCGCGAACCWTTCTCTGCTTCCTCTTCCCGTCATGGGATTCCTGTCCCTTGCTGTGCATCATGTCCTTCACGTGTGCGTTGTTTGTTTCAGGACTGGAACCAGACATGGCATGCAAACACCCCGGGACTGACCGGGTGCTTCGAGAGCTCCATCACTGCCTGGATCCCCAGTGCCTATCTTTGGATCTGCTTTCCTTTCTACTACTGGTACCTTCGGCACACAAACAAAGGTTACATCAGGATGTCCCACATCTTCAAAGCCAAAATGGTAAGGGTGACACRTGGGGTTTGGTCCTAACATTATCACCAYTTTGATGCAGAACTTAWCTTTTCTAAATCATTAATTCTTTCYTGCTAATCWATCTCTGTGTTTACTTTGACATTTACCGACTCAGGTAAAGTCAGGTCACTAAAAATCAAGTAAAGTTTTAGGAAGATCTGCCATAAGATCTTCTCCCCTGTACTTCCATTTGATTCCCTGACACTTTCCATAACACTCTCAATCCAAAACCTGATGGATTCTGCTTGAATCATTCAGTTTGTAGATTGTCCCAGCATTTCCATCCATTCCAGTGTGTGTTTTCTGTCTCTGCCCCAGGTACTTGGATTCATCCTGGTAATACTGTGTTTTTCTAATGTCTTCTTTGTGGTGTGGGAGAAAAACCAAGGAATCCCACRGAGTCCAGCATTCCTCATTAGCCCTGCTGTGATGGGAATCACAATGGTAATCCTTCCCTTGTTTGTCTGCACATGGCCAAGCTCAGGCCTCCTGGGACAGATCTTGTATTTCTTGATATCTCTAAGCACAGATTTGGCTGYTGGGGAGTAGAGGGCTGGGGATGCACTTTGTGCATCTGTGCTGTGTGACACATCAGGGGGTTGGAGCTGGGGCAGACCCTGTGGGCAGAGCACAGCTGGCAGGAGCTGAGGTGTCAGTGGAGTTTAGAAAGAGGTCTCACAATGAGACAAGATGCCATTTCTCATAATCACCGTATGCAATTAATATGGTTTAGAGTGAAATGGGATTTCTGTTCAATAAATAAGTATTTATTCTCCCATTCTGTCATTGTATCTTTATAGCCTAAATCCTCCCAGCCTGTTGAACCAATTGTAATTTTATTACTTGCCTTGTCTGGAGACATTCTTGAGTGCAAAATTACACATAAAGCCTTTCAGTTTTAGCCTTTTAGGAACAATACTTCTGAACATCTTGAAATGTTTGGGCAAGAAGCTAACTGATTTTTCTCTATCRTATTCATTAATTTGATAACAATGTTTGTCATTCCATTAGCAGGTATTTATTTGGACAAATTTGTACTTCCTCACAGGTCCTTGCCTTGTTCCTTACCCAAGCAGAAAGGATGATGGGCATCCAGTCTTCAGGGGTCCTATTGATTTACTGGCTGCTCTCATTTGTGGCTGCACTTGTGATGGCTAGTTCCAAAATYCAGCATGCCCTGGAGAGAGTAAGTGAGATCACAGATCTTTAACATGCAGGGCTACAAAGTCTCCAAACAACAGGGCTGGTTTTGTCTCATTGACTGCAAGGGGGAGAACCAAATTCCTCTCTTGAAATACCTGCTTGAGCAAAAAGATAGATGACACTTTATAATTGTGGTGGGTGTTTATTGCAGAGGCAGAACATGAGAAGCTCTTTCTCTTCTGGTTTAACATGAAGGTTCTCACCTCATTTTCACCAGTGTTCTGTTCCTTAGGGCTTGCTGGAAGACCATTTCCACCATGTAACAACATACCTTTATGCTGTCCTGGTGCTGGGGGAGCTTGTGTTGTTCTGCTTAGCTGATCACCCTCCCTTCTTCTCGAAAGCTGACAATCCTGTAAGTATCAGGTGGCTTTTCCTAATGCCTCCTTTCATTGCTGAAACAGGATTTTAAATTCATGGGGATACACAGGCACATGAGTGGTGTAAGATGCATCATTCTGTATAAAAGCTGATAGTTTTAAAAGGTAACTGGCAGAATTTGGGATAACAGAGCTCTGTCTCGCTATGTATGCTTTTCAAAACTAAAGACCTTTATCCATACTCATGTTTTTTGTCACTGGAACCAGTGGATAGGGCTCCTCTTGCTTCCCCCACTGCTGCTCTCCTGTGCAGTGGTACTYTGTTGGTGGTATGGGTATGCAGAAKCTGTGTGTTCAAGMAAATCAATATGTTTTATTCTTTCTTCTTTCACCTGAGACGTTTTGCAGTCCAATTCTCCAAAATCTCCCATCCCACTAATCCTCCACAATATACTTACTCTGGTTCAGTGAATGGGGAAGGGGGATAACTGATTGCTTTTCCTGGAGAAGCACAGGAGGGAATGATATTCATCTGACACATGCCCTCTTCTACACGTAAATATCACACGTGTTTTCTCTCCCATCAGAATCAGTGTCCAGAAGCCAGCAGCTCCTTTCTTTCCAAAATCACATACTGGTGGTTCTCTGGGTAAGAAAACAGAAGATGTGGGCTTGCTACAATGTCAGAAAAAAGCAGCAGCATCAAAGATCAGAGAGGGTGTAGATGGCAGTCARTAGGAAATATCTCAGCTCCAAAGTTAGCTTAGGGAGTGAGGATTTAAATTATTTGTCTGGGGACTTTAGGTGTTCTCAGGAGATCAAATTATAAAAATTTAACTTACTTTTATAAAATAGTTTAAACGCAAATTTGTCATTCTAGATAATTCTCTTCTGCCTCCCAAATACCCCTCCAGTGCCCTCCCAACCTTGAAATAGATCTCATCAATCTCAAAAAATCACTGTACACCAGCAACAGCCCTCTCTGCCTGCCAGATCTTGCTGTAACAAGTGCTGGGAAAAGGGAAAACAGTGAAGGGAACATAGGCCCAGCATGCTGCTGAGCATTCAGAAGTGAAACAATTACATTCCTTGGCCTTAATGTCCACTCTGATCAGGTCTCACCTGCATTTCGTCCAGAGAAAGTTAAACTGAGCTTTGGCCCTGCTATCCAAGACTCTCAGTACGGATTAGAAATTAGGGCTGACTTGCAAATCCCCATGGTGGTGACAGAAGATAGCCAAGGATTCAAAGCAGAACTGTTGTTCCTGGACATTTCTTGTTAATTCTGGGACAGGACAATCCTGAGTCGTGTTGTACTGCCAGTTAGTGCTTGTGTGCTGTCTGTGRTGCACTGCCTTGATGCCCTGTGWTCTGACAGTGCTGCACACCCCACAGATCCCACTGTGCTCCCCTGACTGCACTCTGTGTCCTGCAGGATCCTCTGGAAAGGCTCTCAGCAGGCCTTGGGGCTGGATGACTTGTGGCCAGTGAGGAAACAGGACTCCTCTGAAGAAATTGTTGCCTGGGCAGAACGAGAATGGAAGAAGTGTCAGAGCAGGAGCCAGCAGTGAGTATTGGTCTGGGGAGCAACTATGGGCTCAGCTGGGCAGTGCCTTWGTGCAAAATCTGATCTTAAGTGTTAAAATCATCTTTCCATTCCTGGAAGCACAGAACTAACTTTCGTGAGAGGGGTCAGTTTTTGATGAGCATTTATCCTGGACATGGTATGAGATCCAGCGCGAGATATTTATTGGTGTTTGGAAGGTAAAAAATTCCCAAGCTTTCTCCAGKTGGAGCTAGCTTTCTCATTGTTTCTTCCTTCAGAAAAACAGAGTCTGCTACCCTTAAAAAGGGTCAGAAAAATGAAACTGGCACAGCAGAAGCTGAGGAGACAGAGGCTCTACTGCAATCAAAGCACAGTGAGAGCRGGCCCTTACTGAAAATGTTTTGGAGCATGTTTGGAACTTACTTCCTTCTCAGCACTGTCTGCTTAGTTACCTGTGATGTCTTCTTGTTCTCGACCCCAAAGTTGCTGAGGTATGTGCATATTTAGAATGCATTTCTATCAAACACACAAGATTGCTGTGTCCATGAGCTCAGGGCTGTGTCAGCACCCACAGAAACACAAACACTGACCTTTGGAGATCTTCTCTTGCCAATGAAAGGAGCTCAGTTATCATTTGTGCTAAGCCCACTGCCAAGTCAGGAGGAAATACCCAAAGCCACTGTCTGAAGCTGTGCAYRCTGYCWGCACTGCTGTGTTCCTGCAGGGGGRAGGACAGGATGCACCAAGCCATTTGACAGCTTCACTAGAACAGGAGTTACCTGATGGTTCTCTGTATCACATCACTTGCCACTTGCTGCAGTCTTAAGGCTCCATGTTCTCTGATTTACACAGAGCCCAGCTGTGCATCCTACACACCTTAAATAGCTTTCTTAGTTGATAAAATGCTTTGTGGATTCCATTGGTAGAACACCAACCTGCATTGCATGATATCCCTTCTCAGTCATTAGGATTAGGAGAAGATCTGGAAATGTCAGTGACTCCCGTAGATTACAGCTACCATTTTGCATATTTGTGACTAATTCATGAATATCAGGAGCCACCCTAAACACTGAAAATGAGGTCTCTCCTGAGAGGATGCTTAGATCAGAGATTGAGATTGGCTAGATTTCAAAAATCAGGATATGTTCCAGTTCTTCTGCTGTTCACTGATAAACCTCAGCCACAGAAAATACAGGGAAATCACCAGTATTTCTGCCAGTTTATTTCTGTGTCTGATTTGCCATCAGTTCCACTTGGATACAGCAGCATTTTGCTCCTGTCTTGCAGCCTTTTCCTGAAGTTCATTGAAGACAAGGAAGCACCGAGCTGGCTTGGCTATTTCTATGCCTTCAGCATGTTCCTGCTGGGCTGTCTCCAGACTCTGTTTGAGCAGCGCTACATGTACATGTGCCTTGTTCTGGGGCTGAGGCTGAGAACTGCACTAACAGGGCTCGTGTACAGGAAGGTGAGACTGAAGATCCTTTTTGAGTTTTGGGGTTTCTCCAGCCCTATATTAGTGGTTATGGTGTTAACACATTTTTCTTAGCAGTATCAGAGGAGATGTCATTAGTTCTGGGATATAACTGTGCTATATTCATCTCTGAGCAATATGTGGCATGCACATTTGTCAGAGCTTTCCTCTGAAGGAAAAGCCAAGAAAAGGAAAGAGCAAAAATCAGCATAATGATGGTTGGGGAAAGGAGTAAATGCTTCGTCTCAAAGTGAAGTCCCATGACCCAGGCAGCAGCATGGTTTCAATATCTGGAATTTGACATTGTTCTCCCTCTCTTTGTTCTCTATGAGGAGAAGAAAGCTGTTTGACTTTTGGACCAAAACTGCTGTTTGATGATGTCCTTCCTTTCTTCTCTGCCCTRTCTAGATCCTAGTTATGTCAAATGCTTCAAGGAAAGCAGCAGCYGTAGGTGAAATTGTTAATCTGGTATCTGTTGATGTGCAAAAGCTAATGGAGCTGATTATCTATTTTAATGGGACCTGGCTGGCTCCTATTCGGATTATCATCTGCTTTGTCTTCTTGTGGCAGGTAAAGTGTGACAGTATCTATCAATCCCTCTCTATTCTAAACACCAAAGGAAAAAGGACTCTCAAAATTCTACTTACTGGTTTGAATTACATGAAATTGCTGTATTTTTCTTAGCTCTGTAGCATGGTGCATTCATTTTTCTTTCTGTAAGGTATTTTTATTGGCATAGAATCCTTGCCTGATCCTTCAGTTCATCTTCTCACCTGTGTGTTCAGCATTCAGCCCCTTTTAGGAGACTGTATGGTTTTTCTGAGCTGACTGACAAACTCCTGCCTCAGATTCCATTTGTCACCTCTCTTTACAACCAAAAGGTGGTGGCCCAGTGCAGGTTGTGAGTTCAGTTCCAGCTCCTTGGCATAGTTCCAGAACATAATGGAGAATGGTCTGAATTAGCAACTGGACATACCTCATCCTGAAGCCAGGATGAGTGAAACAGCCTGCAGCAAAGTTACATGACATTCAAAAAGAGTATTGGATACTTTGGATTTCATAGGTGTCAAGGAGCTTGGCAAGGAGAGAGCCAAACCTGAATTAGAAATAATGGATGATAATCTAAAAGATCCATTTTTAATCAATGTGTCGTATTTCCTCAGCAGTACAGAGCCMTATTTTTTATCCCTGTTTTTGGCAACACACCAAATGCAAGTATGAGCACTGTAGAGACAGGTGATTCACAGGAGCTTTCCAAAGGCCTTGGAGATGATCCTTTCCATTCCAGGATGGATTGTGCCTCGTGCCTGGCAGGATGCTGAGACTATGTAAATCGGTAGCCATGGCACAGACTGATGAAAAGTCACTGTCCCTTTTCTGGTGACATTGACAAGTTCAGTGTGGTTGGAACATAATCACACATAATTTACAATTACATCATTTGTTTGCTGTTCACAGACTGTTTGTGCAGACAATCCTTGTAACTCTGTGTCCACCAGCACTCCCCTCTCCAGCCATCCCCAGGGAGATGTCACTAACGCATGAGAAACAAGTTTTGATGCACAATTATTACAAACCCTGGGATCCCAGAGCTGTCCCAAGATAATGGCACAGGATAATGCCACCATTTCATCTCACCCTGATGCAAATGCTGCGTTATCTATGCTGCAAGAATAGTTTGTTGAGGGTTTGGGTTTGATTTTTAAGGAAAACCTGGTATTGTGTGGGGTCACTTACAGAGGGCAGCCACAAGATGTCCCTCTGAACGCATCCAAGGAGGGAYGGAAAGAGCCGGGAATGGCTGGAATTGGCTGCGTGCCTCTGGATCGCCTTCAGCACTGACCCAGCTCCTAACAAGGGAGCAAATAAATTCAGCACAGCCTGATGACAGGAGCTATCCTGCCTGCAGAGTTAACAATCCACAGTGCTTAGGGAGCACAACTGCCAGGAAAGGCAAAGGCGAGATGAGGGCAAAGGCTTAGCCAGAGGATTGTTATGTACAAATTCAAACAGGAGGGAAGGTGAGCAAGGGGAATGAAAAAGTCTTTTCTAGTCATCACCACAAGTTCCTTCTCTTTGCTTTTTCTCTCCTGGCAGCTTCTAGGGCCATCTGCCTTGACTGCAATTGGTGTATTCCTTTTTCTTTTGCCTCTGAATTTTGTGATCACCAAGAAAAGGAGTCAGTTTCAGGTACATTTTGCATCATAAAAGTGAAGTGGTTTACTGAGTTATGTGATGGCTTGTATTTATTATTCATGCTTATCATGATTGAAGTAATATAGGAGAATTTGAAGTTTGCAAATTCTGGAAATTTGGGGTAAGTTTGCAAGTCTGGAAATTTAGGGTAAGCTCTTGCATGTTCAGTCTTTTACCACATTTGCCCAACTTTTCTGTTGTTTTTATGTACTGCCAGTAAAAATCTCTGAAGATAAAAAGTAAAATACTTCCCAGCCTGGAAGATTCGTAAGCAAAGCAGTATACAAAGCTCAACTGCAGGGAGATTTATTCAGGACTTGGAGGCAGGAATAAGGTATTTTTCTCCAGAATAATTGCACCATTAAACATACAACCTATTAAATTATAAAACTCAAACATTTATTACAGGAAATCCAGATGAAACATAAGGAYGAGAGGGCCAAACTCACCAATGCCATTCTCAGTGACATTAAAGTAATCAAACTGTATGGCTGGGAGAAAACCTTCATGGAGAAAGTGCTTGGAATCCGCAAGCAAGAACTTCAGGCCTTAAAAAGATCCCAGATTCTCTTCTCAGCATCTCTAGTATCTTTCCATTCATCAACTTTCCTGGTGAGTGATCACCTTCCTACATAAAACATGGGATATTACTTACATTCCTCTTTGTAATCCTGCCTGGAGGGATTTTTTCCTGTGGACAGCTAAGGATTATATCTGCCTGGAGCTGGAGGTGTCACAGGAGTTGCTGTGGCTGCAAAACCTCCTTCAAGCAGGACAGACATCAAATGGTCAGACGGCTCTGTCACCAGCATGCCAGAGCTCTGCCTGTGGTATCTGCAGGCACCTACAGGGAATTGCCTGGATTTACCCAAACGAGTTCCAGAGGCTTGAGGGACGGCCTGTCACCCTTGAACCATTCTGAAGCCAATGTTGTGCTTTTCCTTTGCTCCCTTTCAGATCACATTGGTCATGTTTGCTGTGTACACCCTGGTGGACARCACACACGTGCTGGATGCTGAGAAAGCCTTTGTGTCCTTAGCACTGATCAAYATCCTCAACACTGCCAACTCCTTCCTGCCCTTCTCCATCAACGCTGCTGTCCAGGTTAACTGCAGGCCCTGTTCCTCTTCCTTTGGCCTTATGGGGGTTTTTACATATCACCATTAACAGGTAAAGGTAGGGATTTCTTAGGGYTCTGCACATCAGCTTTTAATTGCCCCTGTGAAATGGTGAGGTGCAGGGGCTTGCAGCTGAAGGTACTTTGCTTTCAGAAAGGCTCCTTTATATTGACAAAGAAGTCAACAAGAATTACTCCTAAGTCTTCTGTACCGAAACACAAGCATCATTAGATCTGAGGTGCTTCCAGCTCTGTTTTYAATCACAGAAATGAAAATAGATGGAGCAAAATCTCCACAGGGGATCAGTGGAAACATAGCTAGCCCAGGCCAGAGAGAAAAGCAATTCATTGTTCAGGAAGAAACCAGGAATGTTCGTTTTCCTCTTGCACTCCAAGACTGTCACAGATTTTCATGTACAGAAGCAATCACTGGAGAGATTGCAGGATGAATTGGATGAAAAAGTACCAATTTCACTGAACCAGAAGCACAGGGAAGGATATGGGGTTTTGCTAAGCTCAGAGGAAATAAAGGCAGGGAACATAAAGGAGAGCTGCCTTTGGCTCTTTAAGCCTACAGCATCTGCAGCTTAGCACCTAGTCAGTATTCTAAGTGGGTCTTCAAGTTGAGTCTTCACTTTGGGTTTTTGCTCCCTTTCTGCTCTAAATCTTATTTTCTTCTCTGTGCTGCTTCATTTCAGGCCAAAGTTTCTTTAAACCGCTTAGCAGCTTTTCTGAATCTGGAAGAACTGAATCCTGAGAGCTCAAGCASAAACACTTCTGGCTCTGGTGAGCGTTTATATTCATGCTCTTGTCTTAGGACAAACTTCCATTGTTCAGCTTCTACTCAGGGTGTCTAGTACAGCCAAGAGAAAAATATTTGTCCATTACTGTCACTCTCTGGCTTCGTTATTTCTAACAGTGAAATCGAATCTGGTCATTTACCCCTTCTTTTCATAAAAAAGCTTCATTTTATGCAACATAAATGCTCACTGAAACATAAAATCACATAAGTAGGGACATTTCTGTWGCTACCTTTGCCTTTACAAGTGGTCTGTCTCTCTTCATATCTTAGTACAGACGAGTATCACCATAAGAAATGGGACTTTTTCCTGGAGCAAAGAAACTTCTCCTTGCCTTAGAAGGTACARACTTACCCTTAGTTATCTCTCTGTTCTGTAGGTCAGGGGATGCTAAATGAACTAATTCCTCAGGGCTTAAGTGAAACCACGGTGGAATATCCAGAGGCTTCTGAGTTTGCCTCATATTCAGTGTTGAATTCTGAAAATTATAAAATCRGACACAACCTAATCTTGCTTTTATGTTTGTTAGCACATAAATGGGAAGATGCCTGTATCTGGATGTTGTCCTCGGATATGGAGACTGTTTTCTTTAAATAATTTTCTCATCCAAATATGAAATGACAGTAATTGAAATCAAAAAAGTAGAACAGATGGTATGTAATGTTATATATGACATTGCTACAAGCTTGTTTCAAAAGGCATTGACATGTTAGAGAAGACAAGCATTGAAAGCATTTGATGTTCAGGAATGTTTTACATCYAATGCTTTGTCTCGCCTATCTCCAGAGAGGGGATCTGGGTATGAAACTCAGTGGATAAAGTATGTGGATAAAGACTTTCTGGTTGGTGGTGTCTTTGAAGGGATGAAATGAGGGGATTTACTTGATATAAACCCAACAATAGCAAGGCTTTTGATAATAATTACATTCATTTTCTTTTCAGAAAGTGTATCTAAAACGCAGTAAGAGACTGTCCTTTTCCCCACAGCATCGATCTCGCCGTGCCCCAGGGMTCCCTGCTGGCTGTGGTTGGGCAGGTGGGTGCTGGCAAATCCTCACTGCTGGCAGCGTTCCTGGGCGAGCTGGAGACCGTGGGTGGCTGCGTGACCATGAAGGTGAACCTTCCCCTCCACATTTGCTTCTCTTTATTTAGGCTGTTTGCAGCCTCCTGTTTGCAGGAGCCTTAAGGTATTAACCAGAGCACCAGATACCTGAGGAAAACCTATTTACTGGTGAATTGTGACACAGCCTGTATGTGTCAGTACACACTGAATTATCTGAAGGTGCTGCAGGCCTCTCAGATGAGCCTGAACTTTGGGAACAGGAGCTGRAACTGGTCAAAGACCCATTTCTATCTCCCACTCTGACAGCGAGCTGTCATCCTGGTTAAACTGCATCCTGTCCTTGCACCTCTGTTTACTCCCTTGTAAGATAATAACAATGCAGATTCATATTTTGCAAAGCTTTCTGAGACCTGTCAGTGGTGAGGATCATTCCAGATTTCCATAACTGAGCTTTTCTTCAAAGATGAGTCCCCACAGTGTGAAGTTGAGCTTATGGAAAAGTTTGCTAATGTTCTTCCACTTTTATAGGACRCTGCAGCTTATGTCCCCCAGCAAGCCTGGGTTCTGAATGCTTCAGTGGAAGATAATATTCTGTTTGGGAAAGAGATGGATGAAACCTGGTTCAATAGAGTGACAGAGGCTTGTGCACTGCACCCTGATCTGGAGACCTTCCCTGCAGGGCAGAAGAGTGAAATTGGAGAAAAGGTACTGGCTTGGGTTTATGTTTGGGCCAACTTTTCCCTGAATAGCTACAACTTCAGGTTAAAACACTGAGGAAAAAACCTACACTTGCAACGGGCAGGTGCTCAGTAATTTCTGAAAAGCTGGGCCACGACTTAATTTAATTTAAGCCCACCTTCTGCTGGCCTAACCAGAAACATGAGTGATGTTTAAGACAAAAATCAATGCATCCAGGTCATCCTTGGGTGCTCTTTTGCAGGAGGGGAGTTGTTCAAGACATTCTGCCTCTGCAAGAGCCCTTTTTGGAGGGACGGAGGGAGAGAGAGGCACTGATTTAAAACTAAGGAAGTCATWAAGCCTCAGTGTGAAATGGAGTCAACAGCTGACAAATATGCTGTAGCTTTGGAATAAAGAGTCAATCYTTTCCACAGGGAATCAATCTGTCTGGAGGGCAGAAGCAGAGAGTGAACCTTGCTCGGGCCGTGTACCAGAAGGCTCCGATTTACCTGCTCGACGATCCCCTGTCAGCTGTGGATGCCCATGTTGGGCAGCACATTTTTGAACGTGTTCTTGGACCCAATGGTTTGCTGAAGGACAAGGTGTGCTCTAAACCTGACCTCTAAACAATTGCATAGTGTCTCTAATTAGCAGAGCCCTGGAATGTTTCCAGTAGGGTGGGTTACTGCTTTATCAAAGGCTCACAAATGGTTTTTGACCATGGYAGTCCTGCAGGGACTCTCACCCAGGAGGAGAAAGGCTGTCTTTATCCTCATGCAAACCCTGTGCCTAGTGCCAGCCTTACTTTTACAGCAAGAGTACAGTTCTTTGGTCTGTCGACATCATCCTTCCCTCATTTTGAGATTTACCTCTAGAGTAGTTTGGCAGAGCTCTCTGATCTCTTCCAAATTCTGTCACCATGATGCCTCATCCCATTCCTTTTGAACAGTTCAGTGGCACATTTGCATTTCTCATCACTGAAACGCTTCTCCTCCATTGTTTTTGCATTGGTTGTGTTTTGTTGTCCCTTGGTATTTCTCTACTGTCAATTCTGGGCAATAAACATGGTTACATGAGAAGGGATGCTAGGGCAGCTATGCTGGATTCATAACATAAATTGCCTAGAAACACTTGATTCAATTTCACATTATAGAAGGAAAACAGAAAGCATTGCATCTTGCRTTAGAAAGTCCAATTAAAACAAACATATCTGATTATAAATACCTTTCTCTCCATGAGGGTTGGCTGCAAGTATCAGAATTTAACTATTGTATTGAAACAGAATGACTGGCTAAGGAGAATGTATCAGACTTAAGGAGCACTCAAAGAATGTGATTGTATATTAGAAAAGCAGAATTTGCCAATTTATCTAGAGAAAAATTACTTTTATGTCCTTTCCTATGTGTAATTTTCTGTGCAAATATGCTCAGAAATGTAAATAAAAGAAAATGCACTTAAATTCCATTCAGACTGATGAATTTTTGGGGCCTAAATTTGATCCTGAAATACTAATATCAGTATTGACAGCAGAAAAATTGTAACCGTTCCCTCTTTATTCAAGCAGACTCGTGTGCTGGTGACTCACACAATTAACATTTTGCCTCAAGTGGACAACATTGTTTTTCTGGTGGATGGAATGATCTCAGAAACTGGCTCCTACCAAGAACTCCTACAGAGAAATGGGGCCTTTGCAGAATTTCTCCGTTCACATGTGACTGCAGAAGAGAAGCCATGTGCTGGTTTGCCAGGTAATCCAAATGGATGGGAATCATTATTTACTACGTCTATCAGCCAATTGTTTCCTTCATATCACATTTGTTTCATTACGGACACTTAAAGCAGAGGCCCAATCACAGTAAAGTGTCTTTGTGTGGGGAAAAATATGAGTCAAATTAACTCACTCATCACCTCAAAAYTGGTTCTTGAATCCAGATTAGTGGACAATAATCACGCAGCAAACTATTACCACTATATGTGCTATTACTCAAGCCTCATCTTGATATTTCTACCTTCAGAAAGAATTTTTTGTAGTGAATYTTTCCTCCATATCACCTGTTTTTTAAAGGCTGTACAGGACAAAACAGGATTCTAAAGCATTTAGAAAAAAATACATTTGTTTCACAGCTCTAGGAGACACCAAAGGCACCATCACCACTGGGAATGGTCCCTCTCAGGAGAAACCCCTGAGGTAAGCTTACAGCAATCCYAGACACTGTGGAACTTACTCCAAAATTCCATACAAGCCTACATGGGGGCTCTTACTGAKTATGATACAGGTTTGGGAATGATCTGTGGATTAATAATAACAGCAGACAAGCAAAACCCAAGCATAGGTAAAACCCTGCTCTGGAATTTGAAGGTTGACTGACATTTCCTCTGTGTTTCACAAGGAGCCACAACAGAGCTCAGCTACAGGCTCCTGATACAYTGGGTTGCTGATCACTTCCCAGTAGGGCTGTAGGGTGAGACTCATCCCAAACCAGCCCCAGAGAGGGAATCCTTTAAGCCTCTGCTTCTCCATGGCTTGGCAGAGCCCATTCCCTGTGACAAACATGGACAATGGTTGGGGTCACCCTGGAGGACCCCAAAAACAGCAGCTCTCAAAACAGACATGCATTTAGGGGTGGATGGATGACTAAAAATTGAAAGGATTTCTGTTTTCTTAACGAAGGGGTGACTCAGTCAAATCTTCTGCTGTGGGAAGGGATCCCATTCCCATGAGCCAGGACTGCACCAGGGCTGCAGCCAATAAGGGAGGACTGACCAAGGCAGAGACAACTCAGCACGGCAGGGTAAGAGACTAAGACACGTCAGACTGAGAAGAAATGAGAGTGTGAAGTCAGAAACCCCAAAAGAGGCAGCTTTTCCTCTAGGGAAGCACAGCACTAGCCAGACTGGGATCTCCTCACCTCTCCTGATGAGCAGRCCCCCACACAAGCACCCAGAGTTCTCTCTCACCCCAAGAACACAGGAAAACCACTGCCCCACATAAGGAAAGCCTYAGGTGCATTCCAGAAGTAACATGAGCCTATGGCAGTAACATTCATCAGTTGATAATAATCATTAATGATTTCTTAAAGTATGCCTTCATTATTCTCCATGAGGAAAACAAAAAAAGAATCAACATGGTTGCTATGGCTGTGACATATAACCAAGAAATGCCACAATAAATCATTCCTTGCTTCAGAGCCACTTTGTTTTGCTAACAATCTCAATCCTCCCAACCTCTCCCCCTCTTTTCCCCTCTGCCTCACTCCAGGTTAATGCTGGGGTTTATGGAGCCTACCTGAAGGCGACAGGCCGTGCCCTGTGTGTGTACATCATCCTGTCCTTTGCTGGCCAGCAGGCCGTGTCCTTCTCCCGGGGCTACTGGCTCAGCCTCTGGACAGATGACCCTGTGCTCAACGGGACACAGCAGCACACAGAGCTCAGGCTTGGAGTCTTTGCTGCGTTAGGAGCTGTTCAAGGTTGGTTCAAGTTGCTCACCTAATTGTTCTCGTGTTCCCATCTCCCTTCCATATCCAAGATGTTTGCTCAGAATATAAACAAGTGCATGCCCTTGGGCTTTCAGCCTCCTGGGCTTYTGGCACCAGCCCTAAAGGCTTTTCTTTCTTATCTCTTTTCATCCTTCCAGCATAAATTAATCATATCAAAATGCAAGTGGTGGCTCTTCTCCGTGCTAAATTAAATCTTGGCTTAGGTCACGTAAAAGAGAGAGAAAAGAAGAGAAACTTGTGGAGTTCTACATTCCTTTTTCTTTTAAAATAGCCACCATTCTTTTGGTCTCTCCATTTAAATAAAGAAAAAAAAAACATCACTGAGCAATTTATAGTAGTCCCAGTCAAACTCAYTTTGTGATGAATGAATAATCTGTCCTGTATGTTTAAGTTGCTGAATCCATGCCCCCCATAAAGCTGTTTAGAAGGTCTTTGGCCACTCTGTAACWGCCCTATAGAAAGGACAGCTTACCCTGCAGCTCTGAGGCTTGGCTTAATTCCTGCTAAAGAGAGGTTTCATTCCTGCTGCACCTTCCTTGAATGCACACTGGTGCAGCATTCACAGGACTAAGTGGAAAGCAAAGGAGTCGTTCAGACCTAGCTGTAAGAATTTCTTTTCTCTTGCAGCCCTTGGCAGGTTTGCCTGCACAGCAGCAGTGCTGCTGGGTGGGGTGTTAGCCTCACACCAGCTCTTCCAGCAGCTGCTGAGCAGCGTCACCAGATCCCCAATGCTGTTCTTTGAGCAAACACCCATCGGGCACCTGCTGAACCGCTTCTCCARAGACATGGATGCTGTGGATTCTGTCATCCCTGACAAGCTCAAGTCCGTGCTGGGATTCYTGTTCAACTTACTGGAGATCTACCTGGTGATTGTGGTGGCTACGCCGTGGGCAGCACTGGCCATAGTGCCCCTGACTGCTCTTTATGCTGCATTCCAGGTAGGAGCTCACAGACAGGAGAGGCTGGAGCAGCACGGCCCCCTGTCCCTGCACAAAGCCTCCTTCTGTTTCTTTGGAGTGAAGGCATGCAGGAACTGGCTTCATCATCTCGAATTGCATCTGAGCCACACTAATGTCAGCCCCTTTCCCGCATCAGCTCAGCCTTCCAAAGCACCCCAGAGCCCTCACAGAGAGCCTTGTGCTTCTCTGATGTCTAAAACAAATCCCACCTGATATTCCTCATCTCCATTAGCATAAATCACACAAAGACCAAAAGCATTTTTCCTTTCCTGCACAATTCCTGTGCAGGAATATCCATGTGTGCCATGAGCTCTCCCACTGGGCTCTGGAACCCCAAAGGGTTTGCCAGCTGAGACTGAGCATGAGGAAAGGGCAAGTAAGGGTGCAAGTACATCCCTGCTCTCCACTGAGCAAAGGACTCAGCTGCAGGAGGAGCTGTGAGTGTAGAGGTTTTCTGGGTTCAGGACACTTGGACTCCTTTGCCCCAGCCATGGGGTTATTCCTAACAAAGACAGAACAGAACAGAGGTACGAACACTCCCTCAGCTTTTAAGGGCATCTCCCACCTGCACATAACGATTTGTAACACAAGGATAATACCTACTATTGCACTTGCTGAGRCCTTCCCAAATTTCCTGTGGAGCACCTCCATGGAGGCACGAGCCTTCTGATGAGCCCCTTTCCTTTCTCCCTTGTTCCAGCACTTCTACGTCACCACCTCCTGCCAGCTGAGGCGCATGGAGGCTGCCAGCAGGTCACCCATCTACTCCCACATATCAGAAACATTCCAAGGCAGCAGCGTGATCCGTGCCCACAAGGACCAGCAGAGGTTTATTTCGAGAAGCAATTTCCTGGTGGATGAGAATCAGCGAGTTTGCTTCCCTGGAGCTGTTGCTGACAGGTACCAATCCCCCAGCAGCTCCAGCAGTGTTGTGTGCAGTGATCACAGCAATTCCTGTGCTCTCCTCCTCCTGCAGGTGGCTGGCCACAAACATGGAGCTGCTGGGCAATGGCCTCGTGCTGTTTGCAGCCCTGTTTGCAGCCATGGCCAGGACACAGCTCAGTCCAGGAACTGCTGGCTTCTCCATCTCCTGTGCTCTCCAGGTAACCCAGTGTGCAAATAATACCATGCTCACCTTTAGCAAAAGCAACTGCATTCCAGAACCTAAGAAGTCGTCAACTACTTCTGTGCCTTTCTAGATGCCTTTTCCTGCCAGACCCAGAGCATCTGCRGCACATGGCCCCTTAGGGAATGAACCTCAATAAACACATATGGGCCATCTTCTTCCTCCTGCACCTGAATTTATACTTAAGTAAAAGCAAGCCCTTGGCAACTAAAGCAAGGTCTTCAGCATCTGTCTTACAGAGTAGTTGCACATGAGCCTAAGAAATAGCTACACCATCCTCCAGCATCCAAAACAATAGCATTTCATTCTCAGCAAACTTGCTGAAGGTGCTGTGGGAGGAGGTGGTTCTTTAACACAGCCTTACATTTTAAGTCTTTCTGATGTGATAATTTCTGATTTTAATTAGCTGATGAGGATATCTTTAGAAATAAGCACTAAGACAAAATACGAGATAATTCCCAAGCACAGGTCAGGACTCATTTCATGTGCTCTAATGCTTTTCCCATGTGGCAGATAACYGGTGTTCTGAACTGGATGGTTCGCTCCTGGACAGAAATAGAGAACAACATTGTTTCTGTGGAGAGAGTGGGAGAATACCTGAGGACTCCTAAGGAGGTAGCTAATCCACTCCTGACCTTACTAGCAGGGGTTGAACATRTCTGCAAACCCAACAAGTAATTTTCTATTCCTCCTGAAAAAAAAACCTTCTAAAGGGCCTGTCCCATTTCCTTTAAAGAACTGCAGCATTTGGGTTTTATSCAACTGACTGGATTTGTTTTATGACACCGGATCATTATTTCCTTAAGACTGTTAAGCATTGGATTGCCATTAAAATAGCTTCACTTGGTAACACTCATGGAATGAGACATATTTTTCTGCCCATATTTGGAGTATTTATTGTGAGACTTCAGATGCAACTCTCTGATAACTGATGGCTCCTAGATAGCCTTTTAGCTGCTAAAAGTTTCCAGTGCAATAATTTCTGTTCAGTAATCATTAAAATTATRTCTCCATCTGCTGCCCTGAGAGAGGAGGCTTTCACAGCCCTGTTTACAGGGGCATTTAATTTTTTTTTATTCACCCACTCAGTGTCAGAACTCTGATACGCACGCAAACGTTCATCCCCATTTCCAGTAAAGAAAATCAGAATCTTTGGATAAAATCAAAGGAAAGTCAGAGGCCTTTTTCTGGTTTGGAAATAGCAAAGAGATTGGGGTGGTCTTGGCACAGCATAGCCCCTTGATAGGGTAGTTTAAATCAGCTTTAAACACTGCTGTTTGTTTCCATCTCTTCAGGCACCCTGGACTCTGAATGGCAAACTCCAAGGGCAAGTTTGGCTCACTGAAGGAAKGATTGAATTTAGAAATTACAGCCTGTGCTACAGGCCAGGTCTGGAGCTGGCCCTGAGGCGTGTCAGTGTGAGCATCAACGGGCATGAGAAGGTGGGAACAGGCACTGTTCAGCTCCTTCAGCAGAGAGAGCAGTGACCAGGGGTCACAGCCCCTGCCTGCACCCAGCACGGCAACCTGGCCCATCTCCCACACTGCACMCCTTGTCCAGCTTGGTGCAGCMAAAGAATTCCTCTTCTTCATTCCASWGCCACATCAAGRCCCTGTTCAAACTAAGTCTTGTAATTATTGTTCCTATCAAAGGCTTTCGTGATTCATTTTCATACAAATTGCAAACTATAAATGCTTCCCTTTAAGAGAGTATTGTCAGACTGTGTGAATCATGAACAGCCCTAAAGATCTGATCCATGCAAAGCTGTCTCTCTTCAAAAGGCCAAGAGGAACTGCATGACAGGTTTCTCTAACTGGGAGAAAAACAATCAATATYGAAACCAAAGTCTTTCCATTGCACTCCACAGATTGGCATCACTGGGAGGACAGGAGCTGGGAAATCCAGCCTTGCAGTGGGATTGCTGCGACTGGTGGAGGCTGCAGAAGGAGCCATTCTCATTGATGGACACGATATTGCCCAGCTGGGTCTCCATGACCTCAGAACCAAGATAACCGTCGTTCCCCAGGTATGGAATTCATTCCCAAAATCCTTGAGCAGTGTCCTGAATGCCTAGGAAGGGTTTATACAGGCTCTGTGAGARGAGGGACATTCAGCAATTTCCAAGTTGGAAATACCCTCTTTGCCATGTCCATCTGCCATTCAGTGTAACATGAGTCACAGATTCCCATCCAGCAGGGAGGACCCCAGAGCTCATTTTTATAATTGATTTCAGGAGTTGTTTGTACTGTCTCTGTGCTCAGGATCCAGTTCTGTTTTCTGGCTCCCTAAGAATGAATCTCGACCCATTGAACCAATACACTGATGCAGACATCTGGACAGCTTTGGAACTGACTCAGCTCAAGAACTTTGTTGCWGATTTGCCAGAGCAGTTGGAATATAAGTGCACTGACCAAGGGGAAAACCTAAGGTACCTTTTTCTGCAGAAAAACAGTGGGCTAGGAGAACTGAACTAGTTGGATAAGGAGGCTAAATCCTTTAAAAATACAATTTTTTTTAATGGTGGCCAGAGAGCAAATTGCTGTATTACTGCCCTGTTTAGCAGCATGAAACCRGATGACAGGACAACAAGGAAGACTTCTGAGTTGTAATCATTGTGGTGTTTGCTTTTGTGCAGTACTTACAAACTCTGCAATCCTGTTCCAAGTACAAATCTTCTGGGTGCCATAGCAATACCTCCCCTTCACTTCCTTGRGCTGTTTCATGCTGTTACCTACCTGCAGTGCCACCAGCCTCAACCACCCTTTCAGAGAAAGGGAACAATCACCTTCTTATTATTAATATCAAATGAATCATCTCTTCAGACYRCAGGGAAAAGTGACTGCTGCCCTCMGTTTACCAWCCCTCTCCTCACTTTCAGCACTGGTCAGAAACAGCTGGTTTGCCTGGCCCGAGCACTGCTGCGGAAAGCCAAAATCCTCGTTCTGGATGAGGCCACAGCAGCAGTGGATTTAGAAACTGATCTGCAGATTCAGTCTATGCTGAGGACTCAGTTCAGAKACAGCACTGTGTTAACCATCGCTCACCGGGTGAACACCATCCTGGACTGTGACAGGTAAAGACATTTCTGAGCAGGAGGGAACAGGCAGGCAGCTGAAGGGACTGACACACCACAGCGTCAGTGAACAGCAAGTTCATTTCTGCCCTCTTCGTGTTTAACCCTGCCAGCCCTGCTTTAGAGATTGGAGGATCTCTCTGAAAGCAGCAGGGCCCCAACAGGTTAATCAGAGATCCTTTACTCCCACACGATGCCTTTCATGCTGTGTCACAGCCCTTTCCCCACATGAGAGCAAAACCATGACTACAGCTCCTTGCGTCACCCAGTTTCACAACTGAAATACCCGTTCACAAATCTCACCCCAGTCTCAGCTGCCAAAAAATCCTCCTCCCAAACTCAGCACTAGAACAGTCACTCGTCAGAAACTCTTTCTCTYCCAGCTGTTCCCCAGCTGAAAAGCTGTTGGAAAGCTTGGTTGAATAACCAGCAAGTACTGAAATTTCTTTTAAAACTAAGTAAAATAATTGAMTTTATTACAGCTGCTGTGTATCCCCAAACTTACACTTCTATTTTTATGTTCACAGGATTTTAGTCTTGGAAAATGGYCGGATAGCTGAATTTGATACTCCAGAACACTTAATAGCTCAGAAGGGACTATTCTACAGATTGATGGAAGAATCAGGCCTTGCATGACTCGCTCGTRGAGTATCCCAGAGCACCACCACAATCAGGAGTAATTGATCTCATAATTGAGATGTTACCTTGGTTTCTCTCTAAAACGCGTGACACTCAACCAAAGCTTGTTTGAGCCAGAACTGCAGTGAGTGGATGGAAAGGGGTGACYTGGAATAAACATTACTCCATAGGAAACTCAGCAATTCCACTTTCATGTTTCCAGACACCAAAACTTCACTTGACAGCTGAAAACGAGCCAGTCAAGACTYAAACAAGCCAAAAGAGAAAGACCACAGCATTCCCAATTTATATTATAAATGCAGCCCAAATATCTGCCATACTTAAAAGATTCCACAGATTATTTTTAAAAGCCAACAAGATTTTATGGACAACAAGAAGGAATTTAACTGGTAGCAAGGAAATTTAACTGTTTGCAGTTKATCCTAAGCTCCAGGCAGAACAAATGCAGTATTTTGTCAGTGCCTTCAGCACTGCTGACCCAGTGCTGTTCCTACACAGATGTGGACTCCAAGGCAGCAGCTACAGCTCATCATCCACAGTGCACAACCACTGGGAGAGGGGAGAGGAGGCAGGATGCCACTCACAGGAGASCACGGGCTGTCTGTTGTCACAGCTGGGAACCCGATCCACTCCCTCCCTCTGCAGGAGCAGCTCCAACACTGGCTCAGCAGGGCAGGAGGGGCAGCAGAGCATCCATCGCCTCTGCCCAAGCCTTGGAGCATTCCCAGGGCCAGGTGCTCACAGCAGGGCATGTCCAAATGCTGACACCGACGCTTCCAAAGCGAATTTGGCCACGAGGAATTTGTACAGTTGGAAGTGCCCTCCTCTCTGATCCCAGCAGCACGTGAGGAAAGCAGCAGGATCTCTCACCTGTTGACCTGGTTTGTTCCTGGGTTTCTTCTCAGTGTGAGCCAACTCCTGCATGTGCTACAGAGCCTCTGGCATGGTCATCTGTCAGATGTTGCTTCAACAAACTGAAACAGCAGCTGAAAGCAAACCCTCCTGAGCTCCAGCAGCGTCTGCAGTCAGAGCTGTGCCCAGGTCTCTCCTCAGGAATCACAAAATGACAATGTGACAAACAGACACTGTGACATACTGTTCTTTACTGTGACTTTTGTTAAAACACCTCATTTTCTAGAAAGCTAAAATAAAAATGTGAATCAAGTGTTGCAATGGGTCTCCTCAGTAAACTAAAGCAAATATAACACAAAAAGGGGCAATGGGGAGGGAATGGGAGCATTCCAATGGCAAGAATCAACCCCGACTGGCAAAATCTGGCAGTTCCTTCTCCAACTGCAGTTCAGTGACTTCTGCACCCAAYCCAGGAGCAGTTCACAGTTTCTGCTGGACAAGTGCCTGAGATATGGAGGTCCAGTGCCTGCTGCCACACTGGTATTCAGGTACCAGAAAAAAAACAAGTTTTTCCCTCTACTTTCTCCAAATCTCTTACTAGAGGGCACAGACAAAACAATTCCAAAAACAGACACAAGTTACAAGCACTCTGAAGGTTTAATCAAAGGATCTCAAAGCCAGGAGCATTTAGAAACACTGAGATAAAAGTTAGGTATTTTTTCTTTTAATGGAGKCCAAAGAGGAACAGAATTGCCCACATCGCTGGGTAATTCTGAAACAGACATCTTTTAGCATTCCGTAATCTCCAACATAAACATCTTCTAAATGCTCGTTTTCTGTTCCTAAGTTGGTCAYGAAGAGGGAAGGCGACAGGAGACAATAATCAAAACATACTTTCACACTGGTAACCTTTGAAAGGGCAGTTCTGCTGTCAGCTTACCCAAACTTGTGACAAATCTGGAGCTCAAATCTCATAGAAATTGTCTGGAAATTGCCTAAAGCAAAATATAAAAATGAGTTAACAATTGGACATACCATGTAGGAGAGAAATGCTGCCTTAAAAAAAATCCTTGTCCCGTGATTCCAAGTTTAAGGCAATACTGAAAATGCTGAAGCCAGAAAATAAGTCAAAGGCGTTGCACATTGATTTACACCCAGTTCCTGCCAAACATGCACTGTGCAATTCACACTCCGTGTGCCAGGGGATGACAAGATGCACAGAAATGCCAAAATGTTAAAGGTGTCAGTGACCCAAAGCACAATTGTGACTGTGCCACATCASCATCAAACCACAAAAGGATCTTTGTGGGGGTTGGCTCTGCGAACACTTATACAAGTAGCTCTGTTCGCACATATGAAATAGGGTGTTTTTTGCAGGTCTCCTAAAAATCCTGAGTGGTTCTTTTGGCAGAATCAGCTTTTCCAGATGTGAGAAATCTTCCATGTTGCAGTTAATGATGTCAGCAAAGATGTATCAATCTGTGCACTGAAATCAGGCACAGTAAATTCAGCCGAACAGCAGCTCCTCTCCCCGTTCCAGGGCTCTCCTAGGATGGGGTGCAAGGGCAGGATCACAAAGGGCTGCTGGAGGATGATGCTTCCCAAGCAGGAAAGGGGTCTCTGATACTCAGTTCCTCCTCTGGGTGTGTGCAGGGAGCTCCATCTCCACATTAATGTTCACCACCAGCCCCTCCCTCACCCACTGACCCCTTCCTCTGCTCTCTGTTCCTATAAACCACGTTTTCCAATCATTCCACCCTCCTGTACATCACCGTGCTGCTCAAGTGTGCTGTCATTTGAAAAAACAAAACCCACAGCTCCTCCCCAGACTCCCCAGTGGGCCCCTGCTCCTTCCATTTCCTCACAGACAATTCACACCAAGCTCAGGAGATGTGGCAGGCCATGGACACCACTGAGGGTGACAAAGGTCTGCAGCACTGTGACTCCTGCTCTGCTCAGCAAATCACAAAATTATCCAGCCCTACCACAGCACAGTTACCTGTGCACTCATGGCTTCTTATCCATCACCCTAACAACCCCCAGACATCAGGCCAAGCAGAATGATTAGGCTAAGCAGCACCAATAATCTCTATTTTCAAGGCAAAAAGCTGAACTGACAAAGCAAACCCTTTGTCAAACAYAAGGCAAGAAATAACACGTTTTCTTTCAAACAATTTTTACTGCAAGTTGTTTGCAAATATTTGTATTGTCATTACAAAAAATACCAAAGAAATTTTCAGTCTATTCAATTTCAGAGAGTCATAATTTACAAAAAAATAAATAGCTTTACTCTAAGGACAACAATTGTCTAGTATTAAGGTCAGCAATATCAATCACAGAAGTCCACATTCTCAGTGCTGAGTATTTGGATCCATCTGACTTAGTTTGCTTTMTTCCAGCATTTTCCTTTAAAATAAGACTAATCAGAACATTAGAAAAGTAACTTTTTTCTTACCACAGAAAGATGAAAATTCAACATGGATCTTGAAAACCAGACTCCATTGCTAGTTGAATTTTTAGACCCTTCTGACACACAACTTTAAAACACTAATTTTTTTTTTTTTAAACAACTGTAACAGAACATTTTCCCACAAAATTTAAGAGTCAACAGCAGCAGCATGAAGGGCATGTTTCTTGGATATAAGGCTAATGGTCCTTGATGTGGCAGAGCTGCTATGAAAGCACAGAACTGCCAAAGCCAAGGGTGYTACAATCAACGTCACCCTGAGCCTGCAGGCTCTGCTCAGGCCAATCCTCCCTTGTCAGCCTCCTCCCCACGGGTGTCCCCAGCACTGGGAACCCCAGCTGGAATTCCTGAGTGGGCTGGGTGTAAGATCAGGGACTGCACAGAGCACGCACCACCTGCTGTACCAATTTGGTTTCGGAGTGATTGTCATTCCAGACATGCTTAAAGACTGCTTTGAAGTTGACTGTGCTTTTTCACATCAGCACTACTGACATTACAGTGAACTTGCTGCTCCACGCTGTAAACACAGGAAACCTTTAGGACAATGCATAAAGCATTAACCATGTACAGTAAATGCCATAATGACAAAGTCTGGCACACATTTTATTTCACAAGAAGAAAAATCTTTGGACTATAGTACTATATGCCACAAAATGTTCCAAGTGCATCCCACAATAGATGGCTCATGAAATGAGGAATCCGCAAACAAGCAAATAACTAGCATTTGCAAAAATGTTTTAAACAAAAAAAAAAAAAAGGAGGGAACTTCAGAATGTAAGAGCAGATGAGAAGAAAAAGCTTTTCTGAGCTTCTCTGATGAATCACTCTGCCGTACATTTGAGCATGTAATGACAGATTTCAGGCAAAAAAATAGGAGCCTCTGAAGTGTCTTGCACAGTGCATGTGCTTCTCCTAAAGGTGGYTAAAATCAATACTAAGGAGAAATAAAAAAAATAAGAAAAAAATTGCATTTTTATGTTATTTCCATCACCACGCTCTGGCTGATTTCACTGCGTCTGAAACTCAGCTCTGTGGTTCAGTCCAGCTCAGGGGAAGTTACAGGTCTCCAAATGTATCACTTCCCTCTTCCCCACAGTAAAYAGCCAAGTTCAAATGCTACACCAAGCCTGAATCTTTGGCCATGCTATAGAAAATGCCTTTTTCCTGAAGTAGTTGGTCTGGGGTACCACACTCCACCACTTCTCCTCTCTCCAGGACTAAAACTCTGTAAAACAAGGAGATAAAAAAAAAAAGAATAAATGGTCACAAGAAGATCCAGAAAGCCAGTGAACATGGATAAATGTGCACAGATGGAGACTGCAGCACAGCCATTACTGGCAAGTGAAGACAGGGCTGACTGCAGGACCAGGCTGAGGTTCCCAGTGTCCTTCCCCACCTCTCTGCAGATGGTCTGTGTGGTGCATTGTTTGTGGAGCACATGGTTACCCAACCATCTGCAGACAGCCAGGAGACTCTGGACTGTGCCCTGAGCCAGCCAGAAACGAGCTGGCAGCACTTCTTGTCAAGTTACGTGAGGGCCTGTAAGACCCTGCCAGATCTGGGATAACCATCCCAAAACACCTCTCCACACCAGCTGCTGTGACAAAACACAAACATGCAACTGGGACAAGGAAGTTTGCAAAGTCAGTGGTCAGCTCATTGCTAAATCAGTGTTCCAGCTGCCCCATGGATGGCCAGGCACTGCAGAGATGCTCACCAAGCCCCAGGCACTACCATGGCTGAGCTGGGTGTTCTCCTGCTGGCAGCACAGGCAGTGCTCCTTCTCTGATCTGTCACTGCTGACAGCACAAAGAGAGCTCTACAAAGTACACTGAAATCACACCACTGGTCACTCTGCCATTCTGTGACAAAAGGGACAAGAGAGCCTAAAAGTGAAATATGAGACAACAACTTAGCCTTCAACCACACCTTCACAAGGCAGCTGAGCATGAGGGAGGCTGCATGAACTATAATCAGAAGCTATGGAAAGTGAAACACCAAATAAACTTCATAGGGCGGGATCTGCCCCTCTGGACTCCCTATGCTGTCTGTCTTAAATTAGGGCAAGACCCAGGAACAGACTCCTGTCCTTGCCTCTCTCCCCTTCCCAGTTTGTCCAGGCAGGAACAGCACTACAGGAGTGTAGGAGAGGGACAAGAGGAGCTCCCCAGGCCAAGCACAGCCTTCACAAGCCAGAACACACACACCCTACCCATAAAACAGGGATTCCAGCAGCTCTGTGCAGAGGCTGCTAAAAATGAACCAGTAAATATCCAGCTAACACCAAGATTTCCATTTAAGTCGAGCACAGTGCAGGTCACACATTTGGCAAGATTAAAGCAGTATCACTTTACCTYGTGTAGTCCATGATTGTGTTCAGACGATGTGCTATAGTTAATACAGTACATTCTTCAAATTGAGACTTTATAGTTGACTGTATGAGCTTATCTGTTTCAAGATCAACAGCAGCTGTGGCTTCATCCAGAACCAGGATTTTGGACTTCCTGAGCAGAGCTCGTGCCAGGCACACCAGCTGGCGCTGTCCCACACTGCACAGATGGGACGGGAGGGTGGGGAGAAAAGTCAGAACAAGTTTTGCAGTACTCATTAGTATTCATTTTGAAACCTGGCAATTCCAKGTTCCAAAGATAAAGTCTGCCTTACTATTTCCCTGCAGAATATCTAACAGCATCTGAAACCACATTCCCCTCAAATGAAGTCCTGGCAATGTAGTAAGAGAACAGAAGTGGTTTCAGCATAAATGCATCAGGCTGATTCACTGAATCAGTTCAGTGTTGGACTTTCAATGGGTTTTACATATATATATTTACATTACTSAACACATAAAACCCTGTTAAAGTGCAAACAGCAAGTGAACAGCTTCCTTAGAATAAATGCTGCTGCTAAAATGCTTTCCAAGGCTGCCCAAGCTGACAAAACTCAGACCATTCCAAATATTTCTTAAATTATTTGAAATTCCAAAACACAAGAGCTGAAATCATGTTGAATAAAACTTCATTGGTAGATTGCCTGGTCATGTGTTAAGAATTCTCCAGCTCCCTCCCCAATSTGTCCCACAGGGCTGGGGGGCATTTCCCAAGCACAGTTCAGTGACCTACCTGAGGTTCTCACCACCCTCAGCACACTCRTGATTGAGTTTATCAGGAAGGGATGATACAAAGTTCTTCAGGTGAGCCAATTCCAATGACCTCCAGATGTCTTCATCGGAGTGTTGGTCRAAAGGATCAAGATTCATACGCAGAGAGCCAGAAAATAAGATTGGATCCTGGTCAAGGGAAGAGGCAATTGACAATGTACACAGGACATGGCAAGTGCTCCACAAGTATTTCTTAGATAACAAAAGGAAACATCTACAGATGCAACTGCAAGCAAGCTAATAGACTGAATTTAGGACTGAAAGCTCTGTTTTTTCCAGTAAGTTATTCTCCCTCACTCTTATTCCTTGTGCTTCTTGGGGGCCTGACCTCTGCCCGCTGCAGATTCTTGCAGTGCAGACCTTTCCATTAGTCAGTAACTCATGAATTCAGAAAAAATCTCCAACAAAACAAACAAAACCAAACATCCAAACCCCAGCCAACTTCCTTTTGACTGGATCACTAAGCTAAAAAGGCCCTCCCAGCTTAACCTTCCATCAGCAGGGACAACTAGGCCAACTTTTCACTTCTTAGGAAATTCCACCATCTGTAAATATTTCAAAATTCTTCAGCTGCAGTATGAATTAAATTACTGCTTTTTTTTTTTTCCTTGGACAGGAAGAAATACCACTTTGGAAATACTGATGCAAAGCAGTCAGAAGGGGAAAGCAAAGTCCCCCCAGGCTTCCAAAAGAACTGGTGCTCTTTCCAGTGAGCTCATTTGTTTTTGCCAACACACTGCGATGGTAATTCATAACATCACATTTTATAGTCTTACTTTAAATCAGAACAATAAAGGCTACACAGTAAGAACAAACAGATTTGAGACTAAATCCAATGTTTATAAAGCTGTGTGTCCAAGTGTTTAGGACTATCAAACCCACAGCTGAGCTAGGCTGGGATGGTCATGAACAGGTTTCAGAGAGGACAGCACTGCATTGCACACACTGGGCCCAGGTCACAAAAGGATCCCAGGTAGGTGTTCAGCTGGGATCAGCCCTTCCCACTCAGGCTGAGCTGTCTGCAGCATTCATCAGCTCCTGAGTCCAGAGGCCAAGGTTTTGCTTCCACAACACAGCTCAGCCACAGCCAAGCTCCTACTTGTTACCTGGCACAAGCAAATTGAAACCAGCCTAAGGAAAAAAGCCTGGTTTTCAGTCCATGAAAGAGCGAGGTGAAGTGGCTCAATTTCACAGCACAGATCAGAGGAGTAACAATTTTCTCCTCAGTCAGTACGTTATGGAACCAGCACTGTTGCCCAAGGAGTTCTGGTAGTGGCACGATTTTGCACTTACCTGAGGGATGATGGTGATCTTGAACCGCAAGTCATGGAGCCCTATCTTTGCAATATTAATCCCATCAATAATAATCTCTCCTTCAGCTGCTTCATTAATCCGAAACAAACCTAAAGTAAGCGAGGATTTTCCAGCTCCTGTTCTTCCAACTATTCCAATCTGTTGGGAAGGAATATAGGAACAACTTACTTTGGGAAAGAGTTAAAGCATTTCCAAGCATTTCCATGCAAAAGTGACATATTTTCCAAAGGCTGTCATACTTTTGGGCTTATATACACACTAAAAGCACTCAGTTTCACACTGTTTTGCTTCCCAGTTAAACTGAAGTCTTGATCAATTCTTTCTAAAAGATAAATATAAAAGATTGCAACATTGGTTGGCTGATCTACTTCTTGCCATCAACCCRTTCTAACCACTTGAGCTAGCATTCTGCCCATATCCATAGGGCAGAAAGTGTGCACTCATGAGAAAACAAATGCCCAGTTGGCTACCACAAATAAGAAAGCTGGATAATAGATCTATCATAGCTACCTTTTATGCTGCTGTGCAAGATCACACTATTAACAGACACCAGAGAATCCACACAGGACTGGGGTGGGACACGTGTGAGTGCACAGCAAGGAAGCACGAGCAGAAACACTAAGATCAGCTTGGCCAGATCCACAGAAYCTGCTCTGAAGTCCCATTTTTGCCTGCAGTCTCACCTTGCAACCTGTGCCTCACTGAAATCAGGCTTCCCCTCTCTAACTGCAGCCTATTTTCCTGAGCTTATAATTAATTTAATCTCTCCGCAATCTACTCCTCTTTGCTTACGGCAAACAAACCAGCAAAATTCCGTGGGAAGGGGAGAGCAGACAGGATAAACCTCACCTCCTACTGAATCCAGGCCAAATGATACTTGGCAGCCCCACACAACAGTGCCTCTTAATCCAATGCAGAACACACCTTGCAAAGGCTGAGAGCCCACAACATCTGCACTTAAAACAGGGCTGATTCCACAGAGGCTTTTCTAGTGCTTAAGAACCCCAGGCATGTAACAGGACAGGGTTAAACCTCTCTTTTGCTTATGCATGCACCTCTATGAACTGCAACACTCTGCTGTGAGTTCAGAGTCATTACCTTTTCACCCCCATTGATGGTAACATTGATGTTTTTCAGAACCAGATCCAAATCTTGGCGGTAGCGCAAACCATAGCCTCGGAATTCCACCTTCCCTTCCTCGGGCCAGGTGCTGGCTGGGGCCGTTTGTTCAATGCTCCACTCAGCCTGAAAGAGCCACACAAACACCTCTGATCAGCTCCTGCTTCAACCAGCAGGGGCTCAGAGCAATCAYACGATGCAATGAAGGTAAATCCTTAGCATGTCATTTGCAAAAGGAACTGTGATGAGAAGAGAGGGAGAGAGTTGTCTCAAGACAGATGAAGTGGTGTGTCTAGCCAAAGCTTGGCTACCTCAAGTCCTGCTTGCTTGATATTCTTTCCTCTTGCCACTGGCAGAACCATGCAAGCAGCACACATTCACACAATCTTCTGTACAGACCCACCACAGCAAGGAAACCTCTGGGGCAGCAGCCACATGTGCAACTRGTTGAGACTAAAACATTAATGAACTGGTAAAAATCTGCTGCCTCAGCCTCCTACAGAGGTGAGAAAGGAAAGAACACACCCCACTGCATTCACTGCCAGTGCCAAATAAAAAGGCTCTTAAATGCATAATCATTGGTCTGCTACCAGAACTTAAGAAAAAATTCTAGGAAGGGTCTTCATAATGTTTGGCTGCAAAAACAGTGACTCAGGTCAGGTTCAAGTGACAGGCAAAGCGAAGAGAAGCCCTGGGAACTCTGTGACCATAAAGGGAATAACTGCAGATAAAATGAGTTATGTGGTTTGAATCAAAACAAATAAAAAAGTAAAACTTCTTTATTACCCTTACTGAGAGCAAAAAGGGAAACACCAATAAAAACATAATGTTTAAAGACTTAGGAAGCCAAAACATTTGTACAGCCCCGCTGCTTAGCCCATAAGAGCACACTTCCTAAATAGCTTAATAGTGTAAATATCTACTTCCTACACTAATAGTGTAAATATCAGTGGATAAACCMCAAAAGCACTGACAGGAACTTCCCRCAGAGACCCAGCCTGTCCCTGGCAGGCACCCACAGCCCTGAACTCCATCCCATTCCTCTGCTCAGAGCACAGGCCCTCCTTCCAACCCATTCACTGGGCAGTTGAGACCTCAGAACAGGGCATGGATTTGCACAATTGTGGGGGACAACTCAGTGTACCTCCTTCTCCATTTCAGCATATTCTTTGACTCTTTCAACAGCAACAATGTTGGTTTCCAGCTCAGATGACATGCGGACCAGCCAGTTTAAGTAAGCTGTAATCTGCAAGAAGGAAAGATGTCAAGGAGCAGTTTACACCTAGTAAATGACCTCCAATAAAAAAAAAAACCACAAAACAACCAAAGCACTGCAAGTTCATGGAATGCATCCACACAGGCAAGACTTCAGGTAATCAGAACTGGACAGGAGGAAAGTCTAAATGCCTTTAAGATGCAGGGGATGAGACAACTTGGCCACATCACTTCAAACAGGGAAGGCACAGAAGAAACTTCCCAGCATCTTCTCAGATACTATCTGCAGTTATTTATATGTTCCTTTTATGTGTTTTCCATCCAAAGCCATATCAGGGCTCTGACTTTCTGATGCAGTCCAACAWTTCAGAAGTTTCACTCTTTTTAGAAAAGGTAAAATTACCTGCAGTGAGTAGGACACTGAGAGGCCAACCAGCCCTGCGCTGAGTTTGTTGCGTGCAATCACTGCAAACAATGCTGCAAACAGGACAATGCAGTTCCCCACGTACTCCAGACGGACAGCCAGCCACCTGCAAGGCACAGAAATGCATCTTTTCAGCTGTTCACCCACAGAGATTAGGGATGTGGACAAGAAATGGTCTGTCATCCTTTTTTTGTAAGGCATGTATGTCCTGCTAGTGTCACAGGCACTGTAAGGTATGCGAGGTTCTGCTTCAGCAGCACATGAACCTAGAGGCATCTACAATTAATGAACATTTCAGGTGCATAAATTCCAGCCTTAATTACAACTGCTTCCTGAATATTGRGATCAATAAATCAAAACTTTTAAAAGAGTATAACCCAGGAGCAAGGCAGGARCTCTCAGAAAGATGAGAGATTCAGAAATAATCAAGTTTCATCATAGAAATTTAAACAAAATATCTGTGCAACCTACTTATCTACACAGGCTTCCCTCCCCTGGGCAATGCTGAGAGCTGTGATGGATGAGGAGCACAGCCAGCTCACATCCCCCCAGATAACAGCAGCTCAGTGCTGCAGCCCCACTGTTACCTGTTTGCAACAATGCTGGGATAATAAGCTTTCTGATTCTCATCCACCTTCATGTCGTTCTGCTTGATGAAACGTTTCTGCTCCTCAAAGGCTCGGATGACACTGACTCCCAGCAGGGTCTCGTTGAAGTGGGAATACACAGGAGAGCGACTGACAGACTCGAGACGCTTCAGCTGCCGTGAAGTGGCCACATAAAACCTCTGCAAATCAGAGGATGACAATTGTGGTTACATCCAGACTGTGTCTGGAAAGACAAGGGGAATCAAACAGTTCCCTGCCCTCTGGGCTGTTAGTGACAGATTCAATTTACATGTGGAAATACAAACCTTCTCCAACACTTTAGGCCTAAAAGACCATTGCATGCACTCTCCTGCCTTTAAACAACTGTCAATCAACCCATCTCATGACAGGGCCATTTTCTCCTTTCTCTTATCAACAGGTTTAGTTCAACAGTAAAAAATACACACATCACCACCTTTACGGTTTACTAATGCAGCCAATTGGATTTGCTAATTCAAGAGCAAAAGTCAAAACCCAGCTGCTTCTCTTCGCTCTGTGTATGCTCTACCAGTTTCCAGGAGTAAAGCCAGAGTGAAGCAAGCACACCCTGCCCACACAGGAGTGAAGAGTGAAAGGCTGCCATCCAATCTCTTGCTCTGTAGACAATAATCTGATGAAACAGGCACATGAGCAATACACACATACCCCCCTAAAGGCTACTCTCATGCTTGGAAAGAAGTTTTGAAAAGTCCATAGGTTTTTGAGCAACAAACTGTACAAAAWTTGCCACTAAATCCAATGGCATTTTTAATAAAGTCTGTGTAGGCATTAAAGGATTTACTTCTGCACAGAAGTCATTTGACACTTGACAAAGGAAGGAAATGCTCTGCTCATGTCAGATTATCAGTACACCATGCAAAGCACAGTCAGTCAAGCATGACTGAAATCCAACACATTAAAATCCTTCCTGGTAGAGAGTGAGAACTATCTCAAATAACAGAGGATGAGACTGCTGGTCCTGGTTGCCCAGCTCACAGCCCTTACCTGCACAAACAAGTAGACAAGTCCCAGAGGTGGGATGATGACAGCAGCTATAGGTGTGGCCAGCAGAATGATGATACAAGCCCCAATGACGTTAAAAGTGGAGCCCATGAACATCTTGATGATGGGTGGGATGGTGGAGTCAATGGTGTCAATCTCCTTGGAGAAACGGTTCACGAGGTTCCCACTGGGAGTGCGCTCAAAGAAACTCATGGGAGACCTGAGGACGTTGTGCAGCAGGTTCAGGTGCAGGTGTCGTGATGCAAATATTCCTCCTATCGACACAACCATTGAGTAGCCAAACACAGCAATACCTACAAAAGAGACTCGTTTTYAACTGCTGCCACCTCTCACACAAAACATTTTCCTCATTTGGTTAGCATTTAGCATTAGCAGGTCTGTAGCACAATAATCCTGAGAACTAGGGTTCACTTCAGGTAGACTCAGCAAATACATCAAGTAATTAAAAAAAAAATAAGATCAGTGAAAACATTACATTCCTTTCACGCAAAAGTTGCTTCTCCATTACAAAAATTTGTGTAATATTTGAATACTTTTTCTGAGTAAAAATCACTGAATTCTCACTTGGCATTTATTTTTCATTGTGGGATTTTCACGGCAATTCTGAGGTGCGGCATTTGGGGTGTTGGGTTTCACAGCAAACAAACTCTAAACCACAAGGATGACACAAAACAAAACATCACTGAAGCAATCTCCCCACAATGCCCTGGGTGGAGCCACAAGCAGCCAGAGCAAACCCCAGTCAGGGCAGCTGAGCCAGGCTGGGGCTGCAGGGATGCAGCACAGCCATGGGCTCCTGTGCCAAGCTGCCCCTGCACAGTCTGCTGGCAGGCCAAGGAGCCACTCCTTCCATCAGACATTCTGTCACAATTCTGACTCATCAGCCAGCRAAACACTTCTCACTTCGTAGAAATGAAAGAAAAAACACATTTACTAACTGAGTAATTTTATAGGTTGGTTTGCTTGCTTTCTTTTTAAATTTAGGTCTTTCATCTTTCTATAAAAACCCACACTCAAATCCATAACAAAATGCTGCTACAGGCACCAAGAGCATTAGCAACATTGAATCAGCAAATCTTAAAATACACAAGACCAAGCAAACCTTGAGAAATTCCCAGTGCTCCGTATACTCCCAGTCTGAGAGTTGTGTTCTGCTGGGTCCCATTGATAACTGGATCATCTGTCCACAAACTTAGCCAGTAGTTGGAAGCCAGGGAGGCTATATGGTTACACATAAAGAGGAAAATGGCCAAGAAAGACATAAAGAGTCCAATTGCTTTCATGTAGTCCCAGTACACTGTTGCCTTTACCTGAAGATGGAAGAACAAGAGAAATATTCATTTTGTAGTTAAGTTTCAAAGCCAGCAATCCCCTGCTTCTGCAATGCCTATTTAAAGCCAGTATCCCTCCATCAGGCCATGACAACACAGCAGCTGCACTCTAGAGAGCCACTGCTTGGGAACACACGCTGCAAAGCATTCCACAGAGACATGCCAAATCCAACATCCCCTCAGGGCAGGCACACATCATCCTTCCCCTGTCAAGGGAAGGGAGGAGCAGGGAGGGAGCTGCCTGAAGTAACACAGAACATCAATAGCAGAGCCAAGAACTTCACTGAGGAGTTCCAGTTTCTGGCTCTCTCTTTGTACCACAAGATTACAAAGCCTTTAAGCCAACCCTTGCTCCACATGGCTTGTATCCTATGATCTATCTTTAACCAACAGCAAGCACTCCAAGCCTGGATTCAAGCAACATTGCTAGGAGGTACAACTGCCACTTTCCCAGGAACCTCAGTCTCAGGTTTCTCAAAAAACCCTGGGTATCCTGGGATTAAGATACTTGTGYCCACAGTGGAAACTTGGCTTAAATTCATCTGAGTCAATTGCAGCTCCTTACAGTGAAGGGCAGCTTTCATTAGGTCACCTCATCTGTCACAACCTCTCTCCAAGAAATAGCTGCAAGGTTTTCATTTCTCCTTCTAAACTTTGATGTGGTCAGGCACATCATCTTAGACCAAAGTTTTGTKTCGACATTCTTTCCACAGGCAAACGTGGGGCTCAGGTCTGGGAGCAGAGGGCACAGCAACACTTCCATCAAGCATTACACAACAAAGCAGCAAGTTCAAAAATTCACTCAGCACATTCTCACACCAGTTACATGGTCTTTAGGAGTTATTTTCTTCTCAAACAGATTTTTCCAGAACTGAAAGAGGGCACAGAAGTGGGAACTGGAGACCTTACCCTCCCAGTCTTTGCTGTGTCGGCCTCCGTCAGTTTCCAGGAATTCTTTTCAGCAAGTGGCTTCTGCAGCTCTGCTGTGCTGCTCTGRTGCTGTGGCTTCCCAGTGTCTCTGCTGTACGTTGAAGAGTTACTGAGCTGCCTGTTTGAAGACATTTATTTTTCAGTCTTATCTTGCCACAGGACAGGTGATCACCTCACAAATAGGCTTTAACAGTCCACAGCTCCAAGTCAGCAACATCTAACCAGCCATCACAGGGCCAGAGGTTATTACAGCCTCCCTCCTCCCCTCAATGCACCCTCCTAATCCTCCCTGAGGGTGTTCAGCTCCCAAGAACCCATGCTCAGGTACCAACAGCCACATAAAGAAGCCTTGGTTGCACAATCACACTACAGAATGAAAAATGCTTTGTGACCATTAAGGTCAGCCTTTCCAAACCCCATCATCAGACACACAGCAGCTGCTGGAGGGCAAAAAGGGTACCCACACTCACAATAAAACAGGCCATTTAATTCCCAGGCACTCATTAGCTTCTAGAAAAAGTGTCTCTAGAGCACAGTAAGAATAAGGCACAGACCAGGAGATGATTTTGGAAAGGTACAATCAGAGTGATTGAGAGCATAATAGCAGCTGTGTTAGGTCAGACTAAAGGTCCACGTGGCACTTAAACCCACCTGACAGCAGCCACATGCAGAAGCCTTGGGAACATGTAGAAAAGCTGCACCAGACAATAAAAGACTCTCCCTTTCATGAAAGCCAAACCCACAGTGTCTTGCTACAACACCAGAATCTCTTCACATGGAAAGAATACGATGAGAGCTGTGTGTGTGCAGACATGAATGTGCAACAGTCTGTACCAACCTGGAGTGGGGCTGCAGCCCCAGAGGTTCAAATGCCACGTGCCAGCACCTGGAAGCCAGGGGCAGCCCCCAGGCAGACTGAGGGACTGCAGAGATCCCTCTTGYATGGACACAGGTAATGTATTCCCAGTGGCAAACCTCATCCTGCTCAGCCAGAGAGGGCCCTGGATGAGGCCACGGGGTGCTGTGTTTATGGGGCTGTTTCAGGTGACTGCTGGAGCATTTCCTGTGTTGGACCTGGAGCCATGGAGAAGCTACAGCTTTGCCTTTCTCAGGCTGATGGATCCAGCATTATGTATATTCCTCTAACAAGTAGCACAACCATCAAATTCACTGTTTTTCTACATCTGAATGGCTGGAGTGAAAGGATCGGGGGGCAAGAGGGAAAATAAATAAATAAAACACACACCTATGCATCAACTTTCCAGGGCCTTCATTCACAAGGACTCCATTTTCTAGAGGYTTGCCTTCCTTTGCAGATGGACTATTTGTATCTGAGGAGGTGAAAAACACGGGAAAATGGTCAGACAAAGAGACACAAGCATTTCATTTCAATCCTAATTGCCAGTTGCAGTCCTGATGTGCAAACAAAGCAGGGAACACAAGTATTTACAGACAATGACAGAAAAWGGACCAGGTAAACAAATCAGYTTAGTTCARCCTCCAACAGGATTAATTGCCAAGATAGGGAACATTTATTTTTCTAGCAAATGTAGGTCAGTAATWATTTCATATAATTATGAGGACATACTTTATGTTCAAGCATGCAATACCAAGTCACATGTGACTCACTCCATGGAAACAAACCCAACACTCCAGCCACTCCCTTTCACACCAGAGCTTGCACATATTTAAAAATTATTTTTATTTTAAAATGCAATGAGAATACATTCTATAAATGATGGGGTGAAGCTGTAAGAATAGYAGGCATGTGCTAGTAACTTTGAGTCTTCCTGCAAAGTTCAAAAGGAAGAAATGTGCAAAAGCCCAGTGTTTTAGACAACTGTAGGAATCAGATTAATTAAAGCAGACATCTTCCCATGAGTTGTTATCCTGCAACATCCCGCTTGTACCAAGATGCAGCACACACYAGGCAATTGTCCAAAACCCTCCAGAAAACCTGTCAGCTTGAAATATTAACCTTTTTTGAGCAATTTAATTCAGTGTAATACTGGGTCATGAGTAAAAAGAAGTTCAGGTTATGTCAATTTTCCTCATAAAAAACAAATGTCCGACTCCTAAAAAAATTAACTACCAGTAAATGGAACTCTATTTTMATTTATGAAAGTTAATTTGGAATTTGCAGCAAAGAGCTTTGCATTTGTAAAGGATCTAGGCATAGTTTATGCAAAGATACCCACCTGAATATATTCAARAGATATTCACGAAAATCTGTCTAGATCTAGAGTGTGACATTTTCATGGTTTTATACTAMAGCAAAATATATGCATAAAATAGATCATCAACACATTGAATGTGGACTGCTTTTCCTTCTGTGTCTGCAAACTGAATATTGGCTCATTCTCTAAAAACCCTAAGATAAATTGTTCAGTAGGGTCTTAAAAAGACAAAAAGCAGAAAATGTGAAAACGTTCAATTATTTAGCTCTTATTTACGTGAATAAGATCAAACCAAGATGGACTGCAGGTTATTTTAAGCACTTGACAGCATTTGTTTTGAAAGGTTCCCACATGAAAAACAGCAAGCATTCCAGCTRCATACTGCTTTAGAACACTGCTGAAGGAAACAAAACCACAAATAAACCATCCTCCCCTAAAAGCTCAAATTTTATTTCATGTTGTAAGCTACAAAGATTTCTTGTTCATACTGCTTTTAGCTCTGAGAGCAAAAATTGCTCGAGACTGCCACAGCAAATTTGACATATGCACTTAGGGTGTAAGCCCACCCAGAAATTATAAAAAGGAACAGCTGTGAGTATTGAATACACATTTGAGAACAAAAGGGACCCTCAGGGCTCAATCCTGAACGATGTATCTCTCAGTAYACTCACTACATCTCTAGGTCCAGGRTGTACCTTTAAAGCTAATTTCAAGTTTCCTCAGGGAAGCCTTTGAGAACAGAGCTGCTGCTGCCGAGYTCCCCACAAGCTGCCACACCAACTGCTGCAGCTCACACAAACAAGGACATGCAAACCATGCAAACACCTTCTACTGCGCWGATAAAATTCTTCTAACAATGACTCAGCCTCTTGTAAATAAATTGCAGCTACTCAGATTACTCCAAGACAAGCACGAATAGTATAAAGCCACATGGCAAACAGTTACCTGTTTCCAGAGGTTGAATCGCTCCTTCTAATGAAGGGTCTGACTCTAAAAGCATATATAATTAACCTTTTTTCCAGAACACACTCTACCATTTTCAATCTTTACAACCACATATCCAAGCAGAATAACCTAAACCACAAAACCYAAGGCAGAATCAAATTTGCTGAAATGGACCTATTTTTAATCCCAAGCCACAAAGACAGTTTTCCCACACACAGAAGAAATCATATGAAGCTGAGGATGGGACAGGCAGCAGTGCAGCACACAGGCAGAGGTAACCCTCAGGAATTCCAAATTTGGGGAGAGAAAGGCTGGAAGGCAACAGGGGCCAGAGCTGCAGCCAAACCTCAGGGTCTGGGGAGGAGGAGAGGCTTTTCCACCCTTGAAGCAGCAGATGCATTCCAGGCAGAAAGCAGCAATGCAGTGTTCTCAGGCTGCCAACACACCCTCAGACAGGAGGGAGCCTCCCTTTAAAAGTGGGTGTGCAGACACCCTCCAAGGCAGACTGACTCCCATCACAGAGTTCATCCAAGAGCCCGTGATTCTTACTAATAGCAACCTTTTACACATTCAATAAACATTAATGKTATCCCTCTTAATCAGACAAACAATGCCTCCATCTTTCACTTTTTACCACTGCAGAAGATCACTTGATTAGAACTGATGAACAAATTTGCTGCAAAAAGGCCAACCCTGTGATACAGCAATCCCCTCCAGATCACCAGGGTGGTACTCAAGTTAGAAATGCCTCTTAGAAGACAACAGCAGAGAACCATGGCAAAAGATAAAGCACTGGCTAACTTTCAAAAAGAACATTCAGTTATTAAAYGGAAAAATAAAGTAATTTAGTTTAATGAAAAGGATTTCAAAATCTACTTTTCCACATTTGAAAATGGGAGGAGACAAAGACTAAAAGAACAAGGCTGTTAAATGAGGTAAATCTTCATATTAAAGTCAACTTGTTAACTGCCTAGGGARCCACAGAGAAAGTTCATTTGCCTACAAATTCCGCATACACTGAAGACTGCAACGAGTCTGACTGTGCCCAAAGTAGCTACAGAAGCACCTACAGAAAATACACAGAAGTTAACCTGATTCTGCTCCCACAAAATYTCTTCCCACACGGCTTTCCACAGTGAGACACCCACCAATGCAGCATTTGCTGTTTAGAGCATCCACCCAAACCAGCAGAGCAACAACTGGGACTACCATGAGATCCCTCCAAGAGGAATGCTAGCTCACAGCAGGGCAGCCTGAGCTTGAGCCTCAAGATGACAGATCATCCCCAAAGCCAACTCCTTGAAAGAGGGACTCAGGAGAAGATGCCACCTTGCACATGCARGAAACAAACCCTGCCCCTCAGACTCTAGGGGCAGTATGGTACCAGCCTGGGTCCTAGAGCTTCAGAGAGCAAGGCAAACCATCACAGCCCTCCCACAAGGAACTGTGAGATGAGCACCAGAAACTCCTTGCCATTCAACACCTCTAACATTTTCCAGCTCCATCAGTGCAGGTGATGCAGCCACCATTTCCATTCTGGACACATGAGGAGTATACCAAAAAACACCTCTGTGCTCCCTCTATGGAATGGGAGGGAACCCCCAGTTTTCCAAATGAAAGATGAAGCACGAAGTGGGTCAGGGCCCTCCTTGTTCCCAAAGCCAGCTCTGCAGCACTCAACATCTGCCACCAAACACCRGTCAACAGCTCAACCCCAGCCAGCACAGTGCAGGTACCCCTGGCACTTCTCAGCAGGACTGCCAGGAAATCACCACAGGCAAGCCACTGAAGAAAAAAGGCTGGAGGCAAAGACTAAGTTCTCATGGTAAAATCCAATACTGCAACTGTCTGTAGATAAAAGAAAAATAAATCTGAGGTATAYTGTTGTAGCAGGGCAGCTCTACAGCTGTTTTGTAAAGCAGAAGCAGGAGTCAAGGACAGCAGCTAGAACATTGAGCTGCTTCTTCCTCCTGCCCATCCCCAAARGAATTAATTGCATAAAGAAGATGCATCTTAACAGAGACAGGAAGGGTGTAGAAACCCCAGGTGGCCTTTTGCAGTCTCACTACAATCTGAATCCTGCACTGAGAGGAAATTTTACTACAGATCTGTTACATACTGTCCTAATTTTAAGAACATGTGTTTAACCTCACAACCTTCAATGCCCTCAAGAGTAAGCATCTCTACTTACATAGGCAATCACAAAAAATAAAATAAAAGTTTTATAAATAAGAACCAAAATTCTTTTAACTTTCCTACCAGTACAGCTACTTTTCCTTTAACAGGCCTCCCTCAAAATGACAGACACCAACTTATGCCAAGAGAGTTTATTTGTGAGCTTACCACTGTTCTCCATGGTTTGGTCAGCATTAGCATATGTACGAAGAAACTCAGCAAAAGCCCCATCTTGCTCCAGCAGCTCCTGGTAGGAGCCCATCTCAGAGATCTTTCCATCAGTCATCACCAGAATTGTATCCATTTGAGGCAGATAGTTGATTGCATGGGTTACCAAAACCCGAGTCTAAAAGGCAAAAGAAAAATAAAGGGTTTCTATTATCTCAGATTAGTGAATACCATGGCTGGACTACTGCTCTTTACTGCTTGAATTCTGTGTATAATGCAGTAGTAATGAGGGAYAGGCATGCAGCATCTCTAAGAAAAAATACTGTCCTTTTCTTGATTTTTCCATTAAATAATTCTGAATTACAGAAACCAAAGCACCTTCCAATACAAAAATCTAAGGGTTTTATAAACATTCTCTAAAAACTGCAGAAGAATCCTTTCATTTTTCAGATATCAGAAAAACAAGTCTAAATATGCAACTTGACAAACTTGGAATCATTTGAACTCAGCCAAGAAAAAGCATTCTTTAGATGCACTGTGACATACTTTATTTTTCAGGATTCCTTTTGGTCCTATGACTTTTTCAAAAATGTGTTTCCCAACATGAGCATCAACAGCTGATAAAGGATCATCAAGTAAATAGACATCTGCATTGCAGTAAACTGCTCGAGCAAGGCTGACTCGCTGCTTCTGTCCTCCAGACAAATTCACACCCTGGGGAAACAAGAAAACATGATCCTTTATSTACAGCTCAAAGAAGATGTCCTGCTGCAGTTTATGAAAGACAMAAGTCATAGGTGGCTTATTTAAATTAGAGTAATTTCAGCATTGCATGAAACAGATCTCTACAAACAATTTCATTGCCATAATAGCCCAAGCAATGAGTCAAAATCCTCTTGGAAGGAAGCACATCTATTCTGTTCTCATTGTTAGGGAAGGGCTAGCAAAAAAAAAAAAAAAATAGTGTTTATAGTGTTTGCTAGTCTTGTAAAGCAATTAACCCTGACTGATCTACCTAACTCTGCACATTCACAGACTGCTTTTCTTCTCAGCTGCCTTTCTGCAGTGCTGATTTAAAAAACAAGCTCTGTTCACACCCTACAATTTGACTGGCCTGCTGACCAAAAAGGAAGCTAAAGCTGCATCTTTACTGCAGGTGGGGCTGTCAGTTCTATGGTCAGTTGGGAGCTATACCCACCTCTACCCAGACAGCAGGCAAAGCACAAACCCCAGCCCCTGGAGAGGATCAGCTCAGAGCACCCCCAGCCACACACACACCCCCTGTCAGCTCCTGGTACAGGACACAGGGCCCTGCTTCCACAGCATCACAACAGCCATGCAAGTTTCCAAAATCCACACCACTTTGCTCTGGTAACCAAGGGCCAGATTTGAGGTGGTGGTTGTTTTTATGAATTGTGGTTTGGATTTTGGGGGGGCATTCGGGTTGGAGAGGTGCTTGCTTGTTTTTAATGTAACTGAAGTGTTSTGAAGATTTTTCTCTTCCCATTTCTATATATTTTTCTGCTCTACGACCATGGCAACTTAGAGACAATTAAAAACTGTCATTACAGGACAGTTTTATATCTGTAAATGAGAACACATTTCCTTCCCTTTAAGGCCAAAGAGAAGGAAAACAAGCTGTTCAAAAGTGCCTCTTTATTCTAGAGGATTTCTGCTCCGAATGTGTTAAATTCAATACAACTTCAAGATAAAGTAAAAATAAAAGTCACACAGCCTTAACTACAAGCAACAGCACTGTAATGGTGGAGTGGGTATTAAATACCTTTTCTCCTATTTCTGTTTTGTCTCCTGAAGGAAGAATCTCTATATCAGGCAGCAGYGCACAAGCCTCAATCACACGCTTGTACCGGCTCCTATTCATCTCCCTTCCAAAGATAATGTTATCTTCCAGAGTTGCATTCTGGACCCAGGCTTGTTGAGGAACGTAGGCTACAGAGCCCTGCAAGAAAAATAAAGTTCCTTATTCAGTACTTTAGACTAAGAGCCTGCACACAGAGTCAGAGCACAGCAGGGCTTTGTGAGGCAGGCAGTGTTAATCACCTCACAAATTACCTATGGTCATTTCCAAACTGCACAAAGTAGTTCTTGGGCTACCGCCTCCTCCAAAATGTTATTTTTATAATCCTCTCTACAAGTGAATGCAACAAAGAGCACTGGTGGAAAAGAAAGGACTTCAAACAAAATACGATTAACATAAACCTGGAGGAAACATTTGTTTAGAGAATGTTTACACAATTACTGCATGTCAAAAGTCATTACTTTTTTCATATCATTATAAATTATGTTCAGCCTAAGAGTTTAAACTGGAATGCAAGTGTTTAACAAATGCACCCCTGCCAAGAGATTTCTGCAAAAAGCAGAGGAAGTGGTTTTCACATAAATGCCACTTCAAAGGAAAAGACTGGGATAATGTGGAGWATTTTGCTTTGAATATCAGTTCTGCCTTCTCTTTCCACACTAATAATTAGTCATTCAGATCTCAAGGACTTTGTTTTTCCACAACAATTTTGGAGGCAGCCAAACCCAGTCTTTTAAACGCAACATATTTGTTTTAATCTTAAAATTRTTTTCTTTCAAGGTCATTTTTGTTCTGTGAGCTCTGTACAACTCTGATGTCTAAGAAAGCACAAACTGCAACAGCAGCTTTTCCCATGTTTGGGACTTTGGGTGCACCCCCTCTTGCAGTTCTCTGATGTCTAAGAAAATAGGACCCAATATTGCTTTTCCTCAGAGAATGTGTGACAGSGTTTCCCCACCTCCTACCCAGCTGCTAACAAGATTCACCAGAACACTCACCTTTGAAACCTCCATTRTTTAATGTGGCTAAATCTGACACCAACTGATCTGGGTGCTGYTAGGTCAAGGCTTAATAGGCAATGATACAGAGTGCAGGCTAAGCCATGCACATGGTTTGTCAGGAAATCAGGCTAAAATGTGCATTTCTTTGAAAGGCTGTCTCTTCCCCTCCGACAGCAATCTAGAATCCCTCTGGCAATACCCACAAATAGCTGAACAACTCTTCACACCTTGACAACCACGTAGCCTTCCTTTTTGTCCATCTCCCCCAGTAATGCAGACAGCAGTGATGACTTTCCACAGCCAACCTGACCAACAACAGCCACCAAGGAGCCTTCAGGGACAGTGAATTTAATGCTGAAATAAAGAGCACATCATTCAGCCTTGCTTGCTGACACATCCCAGTAGTTAAACAGTCAATTAAACTGCCCATTTAAAACCAGGTACAATGTGAACACCCATTGCAAATACTGACTCAGCACTGAAATTTTAACTGTTTGAAAATCCAAACCTCCCATTCAGAMAGCACACAACATCTTAATATGTAATTAGTCAAAAAGGGGAGACAAAAAAAAAGAAAAAAGAGCATTGTGGCTCAACCTTGCTAAGATTTCTCTCAAGCATTCTATAAACACAAATGTAAATACAACATTTTTGTCCCAAAGAATTTGCTGTTTGTGGCCCARGAAAAAGCAGGCAAAGTTAAGCAAGGGAACAGGGCACAGGGAAGAGACAGCTTGTAGCTGCATCACTGTTTTTCTTTCTGCAGCACGGGATCAAGGACAGCAGAGCACAGCAATAATCAAGCTGTAAAAGGGAGCCTGAGGACACGGGCAAACAGGAGGGAGCAGAAATGACTGCAAGGGGCTGAGCTGGCTACACCCTCTAGATGGAGCTCATCCCATCTGCAGCACAGAGCAAGAGCTTGCAAGCCCTTGGGGCTTTCTCTTCCTTGATCCCTACACCTCTTGCTATTTCCAAATGCATTCCATAAATGCAACACACTGCAAATCCCTCCTCGATTTATAAAAAATAGAGCACATAACATCTGTTCTCTRTATTTCTTTAAGGCAACAAACTCTTCTCCACATGTACTTTGTAATTCAAATCCAAATTTATGATGCAGCGAGATTACCGAGTGGAATGAAGGGTACCAATTCTTACCTGTTCAGCAAGGGAGGATCAGTTTTGGCCCAGCTAAATGTTGCATTCTTTACAACAATGCACCCTTCAGCTGCAAACAGAAAACTCGTATTTATAAAAGAACCAATGCAAGCAGCTAAATTTTGTGCTCTGGATCCAACCACACAAGTCAATCTAAACACACATGAGCAGAGGTGTGAAGCTACTTTTTCAGAAGTACAACAACCCACTGCATACCAAACTTTACTGAATTTAGCAAGACAGCAGAAGTTCCAAGGTTACACTKATTCAGTAACCAGGAGATACATGAYTGTCATCTACACARAAATTCCAACTGATTGAGCTGCATCTCCAGCATTGCAAAGTCAGCTGTGGAGAGGAAAGAAACTATYTGAGAAGGAAGTAAAACCTTTATATAATTTTCTTTTTACAAACTCCCYTCTCTGTTTTCTGATTTAAATTTATCAATGAAATCCACAAAAAATGCAGTAAATCTGTTATAGAAAGCAAAAGAAACCACCCAAAGCCTGTACAGACAGATTTTCAACAGGCAAAGAAACTCACCCTCTTTGATGGGACCCCTCACTATGCTGTCTGGATCTAATTCTTCATGAGACAGGAACACCCTGAGGCGCTTCAAGGAGACACTGGCCTGCATGGAAAAAAGATGCAAAATCATTTATACTCTGCTCGTTACATTTAAGAGCTCATTCTTTGGTGTCACATACACATTGTATCATTATTATGCACTCCTAACCCCTCCTTAAATCCACTGCATAGCTTCTTGGATAGTCATCAACCTTTCACTTCCCAAACCACAAGAAATATGGGTGATGCCAGGAACACCCATCCACCACAAGTGGGATTATTTCACTWGCACAGCATTTAACTCACAGCAACCACCAGGCTCCCTTCCAGGGGTGGCTGAATCCCCTCCCCCAGAAATTCTCTAAGCAGGGGAATGTCATCTGTTCACCCAAGGCCTCCTTCTGCACAGAAACACCTGCTAAAGACTAAAGTCTTACTTCTACTATGTTGCTGATGACCATAGGAAGCATGTTCAGTGGAAACCTGAGGATGTTGAATAATGCCAGAGAAACAAAGGCCTTCTGAGCATCCAAGATGTTGTTCTTGTCTATGGTGACATACACAGCAAATGTGGACAGGGCAACCTGAAACAGAGCATAAGGGTCACAGTGAGGGCAATGTCTTAAAGCCACCAAGGCAGGACTACACAATCTGAAAATCAGATTCAGAAGACTATAAATCAAAGCAAGAGCAATGTTCTGGTAACTTTCTTGTTCCTGACAACACTTTTTGCAAAACAAACCTATGATTTAAATCTACTGTTGTAAAAAGAAGTTGATGGCTCCTCTTAGAAAAAGTGTTAAGGGCTCACTTTCTTCACTYAGCAAGGGTGAAATCACAAATGTGATTTGTGGTCATGGGGCAGGAGAAGGGGAGGCGAGAAAGCACACTGGGGCTTTCCTGATTTCTCAGTTTTAAAGCACTCCTCACAGCATCACATATTGGATAAGTAACACTTATTGACAATAAAGTTAGAAGCACCTCAATACTAATCTGTTTTATATTTTGTAGAGACTAATACAACCTAGATTTCTAAATACAGCCCACTTCATAATGGACAGACCGTTTTCCAAGATATTTAAAATGTTACAGCACTACAAAGATGAAGTCTTTTAGTAACTAAGCTTTTCTGTTGAGAACTGTTTAAGTTCCATACTGAACAGGGAAATTATATCAAACCATTGTTATCATGGATCATAAAGAATTCAAACAATCCATATATTTTTTTAAATATGTTGAATAAATTATAAATGAAAATAATATTAATGCAATAATTAAAATTAAACCAAATAAAACCAAGATGTTTACTTTCAGAACTATTCCCTTCATAGCATTTTCTTCCATGATAACACCACTCACAGCTCAGTGTATCACAAGATCCAGCAGCTTTTTCCCACAGGCTGCCACTTAAAACAAGAAATCAAGGTAAGACAAACCTTTGGYATCCCCCCTCCTAAAAGACTTGAAACAATTAGCTCTCCACCAAAGGAACAGTCTCATCTAAGCACAGCATCCATTGAAGACATCAGTATTTCTGTTAAAAATGTGACTGCTGTGAAGACACGTATTGTTCTTGGTGCAGCAGCTGACTCAGCTGTGCCTCGTACAGTAGCTTGTTTGTACAGCCCTTAGTTTAGACAACCATATCCCAGGGAGAAAGCCCTCCCATGGAGAGCAAAAACAAGACAGGGTCCAAAGAATAACCTCACAAGCAGCATGTCTGCACACTTGTGTTACCAGCAATTAGTCTGAAACACACCCTTGTCAGCACACATAGCAGCAGGGGAGGTACTGCAAAACCAGTGGTTCCCTGACACTGTTATTAAAGAATGTTTTTAAAARCCCTAGCCATGGAAACAGGGGAAGGAGTAGAGGAAATGACAGTTCTGAATGTCAAAAGTGCTTTCAAGTAGGCACTTGCAGTAATTTTTTCATCAGAACTTCAGCAGAATACACAAGAAAACCCCAAAAATCCAAGAAYCGAGATGCTGAAGAGCCAGCACCACACATTCCCTGGTTGTGCTGGAACAGAGCTACACATTACACCAATCTGCCTTCTCAGGCTCCATAGAACAGCATTAGGGAATTCACCTGCAGAGTTTTATTTAGAAATTTCATTTAATAACATATTTCCATTGAGATAATCTCAGACTTCTTTTAGAAAAGCATTCACTTAAGAATGCAGCTGATGCTTCCTAGCCAGGACACTGCTTCTCTGCCTTTCATCAYGCCCAGAGCATAATGTAAACACTAAAAATGTTTGCAGGGAAGGAATCTGAGACTGGAAAGTACACTTAAACACCTTCAACTGGAACAGCACATATTTTATCCTAATGTAGTCATGGCTTTTAATTGCTTCTGCGGACAACAGCAATGGCCCCTTGTTCTAATAGGGTCTGAACCAATTCCCATGTGAACTCTCTCTCCTCTTCCTTGGATTAGTTGAAATGTAAGCTAACCACAAACACAGGAGAGATGTTTTGCATATCATGGATTTTTATTTTTTTCAAATAAGCTTTTGAAGCCATCTCAGGCTACACAAGGGTTTTGCCTCTTCCATACTGCTCTTAAACAGATGCTGGGAGAGCCCCAGCCAGAGACACTYCAGGAGCACAACATCCCATTGAATCAGCAACTGTCATGTAAGGACCTGCTGCTCTCAGAATCAGAGAAATTGAGATAAAGAGATTTTGAGAAATCTCAAGAGATTGAATAAGAAATAAGAGATTTTGCTCTTCTAAATCTGACCGTACATTTCACCTTCCTCAAGTACTCTATGAAAAATAAGAGGGGATGCAGAGAAGCTTTTTATTTTCCAATACTTTGGGCATTCATTTCTAGAACGCATCCAGCTTGGATATTACTCAATTTCAAAGAAAACAGYGCCTTTTCCTAGAGAAGTGGAGCCYAAGAGATCRATGATCCACCACTCTGGAAGGCCATTTTGAYTCCCCAACTCATTAAAACATGAAACCAAAAGAAGTCCTCAAGTGCTGCCTKGGAAAGTACAGTCCCAAAAAGGAGAGAATACTTCTAGATTTGTTTCACTTACCAAAAATGGAGCACAAACCCAAGTGAAGGTTGCCATTGCGGCAAGGTAAGCAGATTTTTTTAGGACTTGGAGTTCTTTYTGTCTGATCTCTAATACCTTCTCTCTGAAGGCTAATTCCCAAGCATAAAGTTTCAGAACTTTAATCCCATTGAGAATTTCATTCATCAGCTTAATTCTGTTGTCTTTGCTCTTCATTTGAGCCACCTAAAAACAACATTGCAAAAAATAATTAACAGAGCACAATACTTGGCAGAACCTCAAAGTTCTGAGCTTTGTATTTTGCAATGGCAAATTTACCTCATTATCATCAAAAGCTTACTAGCTTCGCAAGCAGGAAATCTGAGATACTATCTGAACAAACAAATATGCAGAATTAACAAGACGTTTTACACCAATTAAAAGAATGCTTCATGTAACTACAAATCCAAACCAAGATCAAAAYGATCGTGGCACTGCTTTAAGTGTGACTGACCCTGCGCCAGGGAGCCCTGGGACTCAGGTTCAATATGCAGTTTTAAARAAAGTCACTATAAGATGTGTAGCTTGCATTTAACCTTAGACCAAACTTGATTTGGCTTCATTTTCAGCATTATCAATGAATTTTTGATGGTGTACTAAGGCAAACAGCTTTCCATTCAGCCATTCTTAAGTTTCCATCTTCCTAAAATATTTTAATGAGGGCACAGGCAGCCAGCAGCAGGCACTGGTACCAGTGCACCCCAGAGCAGTGACAGGATGGCTGTGGCAGACCAGGTATCCCAACTTCTCCCCTGCAAGAACCAAATGCTGTGGTATGTGTTAATGAACTCCTAGAACTAAAAAGTTTCACTTAAATATATCAATGTCCTCTGACATTCAGTAACTTCAGTTAGTAGTGAAGTATGTACCACAGAGCACCTGGTGGGGCTGYTGGAAGTAGCTTTTGCAGGAGAAAACTTGTGTTTGAGTCTACACTTATTTACGTGCACTCTCTGCAACAAACTGATTTCTTCTAAATAAAATCAAMAAGGGATCAAAAACAACCAACAGCTAACACTTCCCCTTCTTCRTCTCTCCAGAAAACAAAAAAATAAATTAATAAATAAACAAGCCACACATCCTGGAAACATGAATATTTCATTCACTTGGGTTCATTAGGCAGACAGTAGTTTACATTTGCACTTTAGTACTTAGGCAAGTTAAAAACTGAACTAATTCCAATTCAATCACTGSACATCTCATGAAGTTGGCTGAAGTGCCATCTTCGTGCTTTCTACTGCAGATTATTAGACCATTATGCACAGACAAGCTGTAAGGTGGAAAAACACATGARTCTGTTTATCCTGAATACACAACACCTCTGACACTTCTTCCCCTTCCCTTTTTTTAAGGGATAAATAAAAGGATGGAGAAAAAAAATAAAAGGTAAAACCTCCAGGAACAAGTCAAAGAACAGATGTTTCTTAAAAGCACTATAATGAAGTACTAACCTGATAGGTTTTTGTCTTCATTGCCATCACAGCATTTATTGGAACCAGAAGGATCATGACAGCCACACCTGCCAGCACTGAAGGACCTAAATTCTGAAAAGTACATAATKGTAAACATTTATTCAAACTCATATTTTAAAATCTTGCATCAAACCACTGCATACACTACAGAAAATCATTCTGAAACAGGTTTTTAAACTTGGGGGAAGAGGAAGAGAATCAAGTAGAGGCTTAGGTTAGTATTTCTGTATTTTGRCTTTTGAAACAAGCATACATATATAGCCCCCATAGAGAGGTACATATATCTCTCTCCAAATAKATCTGGTTTTATACACATACACAAATATGTTTTCATATTTTCCACTTTTTGCTGATTTCTCTCTTCGTCTGAAGAAGAGTCAGCTCAGTGCTGTGTGAACTAGAAAAAAAACCAACATCTCATATGGCGACTCTCTGAGCACAGAACCAAGACCACCTTTATTTAAATCAARGGACAAGTGAGATACTGCAGGTGCTGCAGTCCCCCAAAAGATAACAGCTCTCCTCTGCATCCTCCCAGTATGAACTGAGATAGCAAATTCAGAACCTCCTGCCTTCCTCCTTGACAGCAGTGACACAAGCAGCTCTGAATGGTTCCTTAACAAACAGCACTTTCCCCCCACTGCTGCAAACCCTCCAGGGGTCTGAACAGCATAGAAGCAGCACATTGCCAAAGTCAAAACAGGAAACAACACCCAATGCTCACCTGCCACAGCAAGTACAGTGCTAGTATCACCTGGAGAGGTGCAGACCAAACCATGTTTATATAGGTAGCCAAGTCCATGAATCTCTGAGCATCCACAGACATCAGATTCACAATCTCACCCACAGTAGAAGTCTTCCTAGCAGAATTTGTGATAACAAGTGCCTATGTGCAGATAGATCAAAAATAAAAAACAATTARAACACTATGAAGACAGATTTAGTTATTTGCATTTTCTTCACAGAATTCAACTGCTTTACAGAACAGCTTCTTAAAAATTACAAGCAACTGTTTTCCTCCTTCATATTCTATTTGCCCTGTTAGAGGGTACATCGCAAAATGCAAGTTGTACAGTTTGAATTAATCAGCTGGGTTTAAGCTAATATTGAATTAAAGTCAAGAAGCAAAATTTGGGGTTAAAGCTGGTAGTTTTGTTGCTTGGGGGTATAATTTACAGTTSGTTATATGTTTTTGTGTTAGTGTAAGAATGGAATCTTCATTTCTCGTGACACAATCTTCTCACACAAYGCTATCAGTCCACAGTTTTCTAAAATCTTCCAGATTATTCTAAGGTGAGGTGGCACTGCTGCTAAGTCCCTTAGGTGCTGCTAAGTGAAGCTGCAAATGTAGATGCATCTTATTTTCTGCACCAACTGAAGCACTGCACACCCCAAGTCTAAATGAGGCAAGCTTTCTTATCCGATGTGAGAAGAAGCAGATTAACTCTGTGCTTCTATATAACTAGTAAATTAGAAAACTGYCCTGGCTTTAAGTCTTTTATTTATAAATTAGACATGCTCTTATTTCTATTAAGAGTTAGGAATCAGCATACTATCAACAATAGAGTCTCCTAACTTATTATTCAGACTTATGTGATGCATTCTCACAGATAGAGATATTGCATATTTGCAGTGACAGTACTGTTACATAATTAAAGAAACACCTACCTTTCGATAAATTACACCAACAATGGCTGTTTTGAGCCTCATTCCAGTTACAAAGCAAATATGAAAATACTGGTGAAGAATCARTGTCTGAAGACAGGCACAAACAAACAGCAGCACTGTATAAAAGTAGCCTTGCCAGTTTGGGGCAGCTTTGTTATTTACAAAGTTGAGGAGCAATCTGTGGAGAGAAATGAGCTCTCTTGATAGATGGAAAACAAAGCCAAATGTCATGGTTATAACCTTAGATTATTCCAAACATTGAATGGGGTCATGCAAGCACCTAAAGTACCACACTTAGATAAAACACTTAAGCACACTTCTTAGAAACTGGAGATCACTCAATGTGAGCATACCTCACTCCCTCCTCAACATACCAGTCTGAAACAAGAAGTAACACATAACTTACAGCATYCTCTCAGAGCTATACTGAAAAGTCTGATATCCCCTCCAGCTGAAAGACAACCCCTTGCAGTTGTTTACTTCTTAGCTCAAAGCTACAACCCCTCCCAGCCCTTTAGCTCTCTGTGGCATCACATACTGGGATGTGTAGACACCAAATAATTACAGGTTAGAGCTGAGTAAATTCTCCTGCTACTGCTGATCACATTTCTGCCTTGCTTCCTGGTGTTGAAAAGGAACATAAGTCAAACATTTATTGTATGATGTTCCAATTTGAAAACCAATGGACCAAAATCATCTTTGTCCATAGTCTCTCCCTTGTATAACATCTCTGCCTTATTGAATCAGCTGAAGGCAAAACAGCTTGGGAAGTGAAAATACCAGCACATTTTAAATCCTGTCCACACATTTTTAATACAATGATAAAGTATATAGGTCTTACTTCAGAATTTCYGGGCCTGCAAACATCAAGAGATCATGTGCAGCTTTAAAAAGGAAGCTCATGAGAAAATATGGTCCAAAGGTTTTGTATAACACCTTGAATARAGATGCTTCAGAGCTCTTCTCAGATGGTTTTATAATCAAAGCTTCAGCCTCTTCTGTCACATCACCATTTGAGTCGCCTGATTTTTGCTGCTTTTTGGGTGCRTATACCATGTTTGGTGGCTGCCTGAAATAAGAGTAGGTATAGAATGTAGCCTTYATTCAAGCATAAAGCCAACTGGAAAAATGGACACTACACAAATGAGATGTAAATGAGCTGTTTAGTATGATTCCTACGAGTTTAACTGGGTTTTGCCATGAAGCAATTTTAATCACACAACATAACTAAATTAACTGGCCATTCAGAAATAGCTTTCTTTGCTTGGATGGGTAACATTCCTRTAAATCTCTCCTGTAAGTCTGCCCTGGGTAATGAGGAATAGGRCTGTAACTCGTAAGCAGAGGATGTTATTATTATAGAACCCAGAATCAAAATCAAGGCTTCACTGTATCACCAGAGTTAAAAAACTGCAGCCAGATTTATGCCAAGACATGCCCAATGGACTGAACACATTTTTTCTCACATCTGGCTTATGCTAAACTAAACACTCTGAAGTCCTGAGCACAAGCTGTACGTAAAACACACTGTAAGCAAGCAGGCAATTTTCCTTCAATGAAAAGGTGYTCCTATTTGCTGCAGCCAAGGATGATGAAAGTAGAATGGAGACTGCAGGCATGCAGTCTAATTTTAGTCATCTGGCTTGGATGCTCAGACTCCCTATATAGTCAAAAGAAAGGAATAAGCTGCTCACTTTTACACCCTGAACTACCCTCCCCGAGGCTTTGGTGACTACAGAGGGAGCCAAAGCTCCTAAATTACATGACAGAAGTTTGTGTCCAAACATTCTCTCTCCAGAGGAAAAAAACTCACACATCAAAAGTCACAGTAAAGAGTTTTGGATCATGGAAGACTAAGGGAAAGTTGATGCAGCTTTTCATAAATAAGAAACACAATGCCCTACTTGGTTCCTGCTCTGTGTGCATTTAAGGACAAACACAGGCAGCCACATGGGCCTTACAAAAGCAGGTTTGATAACAAATGACAAATACCTCTAAGTAGARGCTGAGTAACTTGAGCTTTTAAACCTCTGTATCTTGGCAGAACTGAAAGCCAGGATAACTGAACTTACCTCTTGGTCTTTGACCACTCTTTTGCCCAATTTCTAGCCAAACCTGGCACTATTTCCTCTGATTTGTCCTCTTTATTTAATGACCACAAATCCTTGGCTTCCAAAGGASTCCGATAACCCTGAATCATCAGCCTGTATTGGAAACAACCAGCAATATAAATTTAAGCACACTGGAAATGTAYGTATGTATAGATAGAGATAGATATACAGATACAGCTGCATTCAGCCCCAGAGCAGAGCCAGCTCCACAAAGATGCAAGCAAGMACTAGTGCCTGCAGCAACACAGGTCCAGATGCTAAGACATACATTCTCCTGCCTTTACTGGGACAATCAGACACCAAAACATCTAAGGATATACCACTGAATTCAAATTTCAGGGAAAATAAAAGAAAGGATAAAATGATCTCATTTGAAAATCAGCCAGGCAATTAATATTCTCATGCCTAGCAAGTTTCAAAATCTTTATTAGCCTTTAATTTCACAAAGCAATGTCTTTCATCTAGCTTTCTGTTGGAACTCTGGCCAAGTACCAGCCACAACTATATACCAATATTATTTTACATGTTTCTCTGTTTTAACTCACAAATCATACAGCCTAAATAAAATTAATGGAAAAAAGAGCCTATTGGATGAAAAGAGGTAATAGATTTTAATGTCTTCAGTTTCTAAATACAGCAGATAATTTCTTCCTTCTTSTATTTGCCAAAGAATGTTTTTTATTATATTCTTTCATCAAACATACTAAATATATACTGGCAAAATTTAAAATTACAAAGACCCTACAAAGGAAGTAAAAAAATAGTAATCAAATCTGAAAAAAAAAATTAATTAAATTTGTCTATGACACAAGCAACCAAACTAACCAAAATTATTGTTGCTAATTTCAGTCTAAAAGCAGGATCCCAAAGTGCCATAACTTGAACTGTTTTTTATGAACAGTTTTGTCTTACCCAGTGATCCACCAGAATGTGATTCTGGAGAGGAAAGAAGCACTGAACTCTGGACATGGATTCTACAGGAGAGAAAAAGAAATCAATCCACATACAAAGTGACTGATGCAGGTCCAAAAGAAACAAACGAAGCAGAAAAGGTGCTTTTCAAATTTCTCTTGTTTACACTATTTMTTTCACATTACTAAAACTTGAAATTTATGCTGCTGAGAGCTTGTTCAGAAAACACAAGCACAGCTTCAGGGCTGTCCCCAGGCTCAGCCACTGGGACACAGGAATAGCAGTGCTCCATATCAACAACACAACAAACAGCTGAAGGAATTTTAGAGGCCAGTGCAGGCCAGACAGTCTCTACAGATGTTGTGTTCAGTGCCTATGTCAATGCAAGGTATGCTACCATATGAGGGCACAAATATGTTAATTGGGTAGTTAGTCARCAATGAAAAATGCAGTTCTCCTGCTCCAGAAGTGAAGTGCTGGGACTCCATCCACATGGATGCACAAATGAAAAAAATGTGCAAACTCCATAAAAGCATCCCAAAGCATCCCAAAAACATCCCTTAGGAGCCCTGCATCTTGTTCATCAAAYATATAAGGGAAAGTACCCATACAGGTGCACAGCTCACTCAGGTTCCACACCCAGCACAAAGGCTGGCTCTTTTAGCTACTCTCCTAATCTGTCTGGGTTAAAAGAGCATAAAGAAAGGCAGGGAGAATTTCAAAGGCACTAAAAGATAATTTCCTTCAGAATTTCAGCATGCATTTCTCTCTTCCCTATTTCAGATTTCTGAAAGATTTCAGACTTCCTAGTCTTCRCTATTTCGTACAGACACTGGTAGAAATACTCAGAAACAAAAACAAAAAACAAACCACTGCAGTCTCAATGCACCTTGTAATTATTAGAACCATCAAAGCAGAAGAGGTTTCCTAACACCCACAGTATCCTGTCAAATATATTTAACCCATGAATGAGATGAAAAGAACCGAAAATTAAGAGGATCCAAAGACTCAGCAATATGCTGCTCCTTCCAGGAACACACACCAAGTCTGCCAGGGCCACGCAGAGCCAGGGGCACCCTGGTGGAGAAGGTAACTGTGGGATACACTAAGTGCAACTGCTCATGGACCCTTCCCACAGTTACAAAGGCAGTATTTATTTCCCCCTGATACATTTCACACCTTCTTCGTCACAAAGTGTCACTTAACAGCCATCAAAGCACAATTAGACCTTCTGTAAAACTGAAATTCCTAAAGTTTGCACATGCAAACTTCAGGCAGTGACAAGTGTCACCCACGGTAACTCAGAACATCTGGCCCAGAGGTGGTGCAAGGATGATCAAGCATCCCTTGGGTCACTTCCAACCCATGCCATAGAGCTGGTACAYGTAATTAAGAACACCTCCAAAAAGCATCATGTCTAGGCAAAATTAAATATTACATCCAAACCACCCTCTAACATTAGCTGCTCTTGCATCTGAGCTGGATAAATTTCTACTTGACACAAGAGAGATAAACACAGAAATCAAATGCATCTGCCCAGGTTCAAAAGTTTTCCWGGTCTAAATTCTTCCTCACATTCAAATGAAAGGGAATCCACACCCTTGTGACTTACTGCCTACTGAACAGATCAGATAACCAGGAGCACAGCATCTCAAATCACTATTCCCTACTGACTGCCAGCAGCACTACTGAATATAAATGCATATAACTTATCCTTCAGGAATGCTATTCAGCAATGACAGCAACAGTATTTTTGTGTTTTTTCTTATATTCAGCCCCTTCCTTCCCCCAGTTTTGCCTGTTATGGGCTTCTTTCGCATCACCAAATGAAAAGCAGAATTTTAATTATTTGGCATCTGGGAGACTATGGACCTGTAGCTCATTTTACAGAATACTGCACATATAATACTTGGCACTCAGAACAGACTCACTTACAGGATCATTTACTGTTTCAGAAAACAAAGGTGGTTGCTCTGGAAAACAACACAGGATGAGCTCTACTAATACCAGGACGAAGTAGATGCAGAAGGTGACGTAACGAAATGCATCCTCTTCAGCACCCTACAAAGGAAGGTAATATTCTAATTAGAAGGCTTGAGGAATTTATTTAAAACATGTTGCTATTAAACAGAAAACAGCTCGTTAATGTAAATTCTGCAAACTGAGTGCTGCACTACTCACCCCCATGCAAATTAAAGTCAATGTCTATTCTGGTAAAGGGAAGGTAATGAGAGGGGAGGATGTGAAAGATACATTTATTTTTATTCAGTCACTACCATAAATATACAAGTATGAATTTTTAATGTAAAAAGTTCTCACTAAGACACGTTTGTGCCAACACAACCCTAATTTGAAGTCAGTGTATTCTTTACAGGGGCGAGATATTTATGTACTGGGTAGCAAGGAGAGTTCAATGCAAACTTTTTAATTAATATGCACATAGAAGGTAAGAATTAGAGGAGAAGAATTTAGGTTACTTATTGTTCCATTGTGWGCAAAATTCAGAGATCCTTTCAGTTTTTTTAACTGGGACTGACATACAACACACAAGCTACAGAAATCAAAGCATGGGGATAGATGGGCACACACCCCCAGTAAAAGCCCATTCCCAATAGCTGAAGGCAAAAGTTGGCTTAAAGTTCTCAAAATTGCCAATAGAGAYTAAAGGTTCAAGAATCAAAAGTGATATGCCATTTTCAGGCAGCTCCAAAACTAGTCTGGCATTTGAGGTGGCCTTAGTACAAGGCAAATTGGCATAAAAATATTTCACTTTACACTTTGATTTTGTCCAAGCAGGTGAGAGCACAGCAGCACTGAACAGAGTGTTTCAGGAAATCCACTGTATAATCAACAGGAAGATGACGTCAACTCCCAGCCAGAGCAGTCTGATTTCAAAGATTACACACGTGGAGTATACTCGAGCACACACATCCGCTTTCTCTAACAGAATTTTCTTGCCAACTGCTGCTACAGTTAAAATCACTATGAATTTCACAAACATTTCAAAACAGAGGCCATTAATTCTTGCTTGTTTTGCTGTAACAATCCAAGGAATGAAGGCATACYAAATGCATCATTAACTGATTTGACTGGTGTAATTACCGAGCAACTACCCTATCACTGCAGCATTTGGGATTATTTTCCACTGATTGAGGTTAAAAATCACTTACCRTTTTTAAGGCATGTTTGATTTTGGATATAAAAATCACTGTGGCACATAACAATGAGATGAACCAGAAAAGCGTCATTACTCCTGAAGACTGGACTCCTTGTAGTCTTTCATATTGTATTAAAAATGTGGCAAGCAACTGCAGACAAAGATGAAAACAAAAGATGAAAACATATCCATAAATTTTAAGTTTTACAGTATTTTAYGCACATATAAAGGGTATTGTCTAAAGTATGCTTATTTAATATTTCTAATCCAGGATCTCCCAGACATTCTAAAATCCAGAAATTTAAAGTGTAATCCAAAAATACATGTAAATAGTAAATGCTCTGTATCAGTAAAGATACCAGTGGACAAAAAGGGGAAAAGGAATATGTATTACATAGAAATAAACAATCACATACACAAAAGTACTGTCAAGAGCTGCCAATCATCACTTTGCTGGCTCTACACCACAAATCAACATGRAATTATGGTATTTCCTGACCAGTTATTTTTTTAAAAAATAGATTTCTTTCCATACAAGCCACAACACCAAACAATACTTGACCAAGTCTTACTGTATTTCTGTATTTTGTGTATTTCAGAGTCCTTCCTTTAGAAAGCTGGTGCACCTCACTTAACTACTGCAACATGCACTTTCAATMAGCCTGACAAAAGCTTGACAATTGCATTATTAAATGAGCACAAACTGCTTAACAGCTCTTGCATTTGTCAGTATGTTTGAMGGCAGTTTGGGATTTTTGTTTGGTTGCTGTCGGAGTTGTGGTGTCCCCTTGAGCATCATGTTTAATCATTACCATTCCAACCCCTGATAAATGAAAGGCAATTGACAATAAATGAACAGCAAGGCATTTTCCTTGAAATRCAGGGATACTGGTGTGAAAGCAGAAAAGCTTTGCATGTTTAGGGTGAAGGAGTTAGCTGCRGACATCTGYATGGCTCACAGCATTTAAGACTTTMCACTGTGCCTTCAAGTGTAATAAAGAAAATACACACTAAAGAATATTACATGAAAGAGAGTTTGTAAAGATACTTCAGCAGTCTTCCCCCAGGTTCGGTGGTTTGTATTATCTAGGTTGAATAAGGTCTCTTGAGTTGATTCCTCTACCCCAATGCCTGAGTCAAACTATTAAAGGGAGAGYAGCTCAAGTCTACCAAAATAAGACATCTGAAACTGCCTTGTGTGCTGATGTGCAACACATGAGCACAGGTGGGTGAGAGTCTAGTTTTTCTGATATTTTTATTAAAAGAAAGCAGACATTACAGAGTCAGTATTTCACAGCTCAACTGCAGAATAAATCTGCAGTTTAAAGAATTGCAGCACTGTGAATAATRCCAGGATGGTGTCATCGCTGAAAGCTTTGCATGAACAATGGCAATGCAGAAGAACTTACCATTGTTATACCCAATACTGTAGGGCTAACGAGAAAAAATGGAGCTCGAAAAATATTTTGACTTCTTTCCCAGAAAGAGTAGAAAAGGTCTGCCCAGCAGACTATCCACAGTATTAAGCCCAAAGCCTGCAATGAAAAAGCATCTTTAATACATCAGTTCACACAGATAATACAGCATAATATATATATAACATATAGATGCCATATGCTAGCAGAAGTTAAAATCAGATGATGTAATTTGGAAAATTCTACCACACGCACAGAAAAAAAGAAATTTGGCTTTGATTACTGAATTCCTACTAGAAGAAAAAGTTTGCTGATATTTAATACCATGTAATTCAGTCTATTATGAAGCAGAAAGCTGGYCAGCCTCACTCCTCAATAACAGACTGCAGAGACAAAAACCTCTCCAACACACCATGTTATTATAGTCCTTAAAACTATTTACACTTACTCTACAGGGAATAAAAAAACCGAAAACATTAAGTACTTATTTCACAGCAGAATTGAAAGAGAACACCTGCAGTAGGTCTAGAAATGTATGCTGTGAAACTTAAGAAGCTGACAGGACAATAAATTCTTTTTATGATAGAAATAAGGGCCTTGAAATTGAATTGCCCTAAAGTAGTCTTCTCCAACCAGTCTTTAAAAGGATTTGCATGTTTGTTGCTACGCCAGGGTAAATTTCAGAAAGCCTGATAAAAGGGCAATGGAAACAGGAAAGGCTGGGAAATCAAACACAAGCAGAACAAATAAGGTACACCTGAAGTGTGCACACAGGTCAAGACTGATGCTCAAAAAAACACTGTGCTAGTACATAGCTGAAAATAGACTTCAATTCCAAACAAGCCTAGTAAGTTGTGATTTCAGAGTCACATACCGTTTTGGCTTTGTTAAGGTTTGACACTTGAATGTACCCCCTGTCATGACGGCGAAGGTACAGGAAGTACACTGGGAAGCAGAGCCACAGGTAAATGCAAGGAATCCAGACCAGGACTGTGTTCTGAAAGCATGGGGTGAAGTCTGGATCTTCTGTRTGCCATGTCAGATTCCAATCCTAGGGAAAAAAAAACAGACTAAGTTACACAAAACACCAACACTGAACTTCAGTATTTAAAAATCAGAGACTCAGAATAAAAAGTACACAGCAACAAGGCATAGAGCCAAGTAAAAGGCTCACCCTTGCAGCTCATTTCCTATTCAACAAGAAGAGAATGTAAATTTAAATAATTCAATGTTTTCTTACTTCTCAAAACCAGATAAATCAAAACTGATGCTCACAGTTTGATTTGACCATACAGTCAAATCAAAACTGATGCTCACAGTAATAAAAATGTGACCATTTTAATTACTGACAGGAGAACTATTTACAATGACAGACTACTTAGTAGTAACATGAGCTTTCACACCATATTTACGATTGCTCTGAGTTAGGAAAATCTTTTGCAGCTAATTTTACCTTAAAATCACTGATCTTGATGAAAAACTATCACATGCAACACTTTCAAGTGCTGCAGATTCTTGACTCTCCAACAGAATAATGCAATGCACAATACTGCAGCTGCAGATGGGCTGCAATATTCAACAACTGCAATATTCACTGCTCACAGGCTTTTGTTTAAAAGCCACTGAGCCAAGAGCAGCAGTGTCATGCCCAAAGGCTCTTAACTACAGAGTTAACTTTTCAGTGGCAAAGCATTTTTTCAGACAGTTGCACAGCTTACACTACCCAAAACCCCAGTACCWCTACTGGGATATAATGACTGTCAGYAATCCTACTCCTCTGCAAAAGCCTGAGCTGGTCACAGAAATAAGTGCCATTATCMACATTTTATAGATGAGGAAACAGAACCAAAAGGAGCTGTAGTGCCTGCTCCCTCTATCCCAACATCAAAGCCGAAAGCAGATCCCACTGCCCAGAATCGCCACACTTTGATCCTTGTTTGTTCCCATCTTCCACTGAATAAACAGCTTCAAACACAATTACAGAGAGAAAATAGATCTAAAGAGAAATGGAAGATAACATTTTCTTTTCCCATTTCCAGCAATTTCAGTCAGAATCTAGGACTTCTTTCTCAGTTAGATACAACAGACAGTATACACAGGACACTCAGCTGTTATTTTTCTCCTCTAATTCTTCTCACTTTGTATAATTTTTACTTTTTCCTTTTTCTAAAAACTCAGCTTACTACAGCCAATGCAAGGGAATCAACACTGGTAGAACATAAGRATGCCCAGTTATGTTTGAATGTATCTGTGTAGGGGTCACACAAGTTGTTTGTCACAAGGCAGTGGCTGTGAAAGCTGTGGGTAAGCCGCACGCTYATTAAGTTTCCTGACTGCATAACTCATCAGAAATTTCAGCTGAGTCATCCTTACATTTAGCCACCACACGAATGTTTTTGGCTTTCTAAGTCCCAGCTGCTCCACTCCAGCAGAGCAGCCAAGAAAAAGTCTCATGACTCTGCAGAACAGTTTACAATTCACAAATTAAGACAGTTATAAGATTATACAAGTAAATCAACAGGATGTAATCAGCTTTACCAGAAACAAACAAAAGCACTGACATCATTTTATTGAGTAAACTTTTGCAGATCTACACRCTGTTTAGAAAGTTACTAACTCCTTTCTCAGTGTTTGTTAATGCTGGCTATAAAATAAATCTGGCAAATACCAGAAAGGTCAGAGCAGGTAATGCACATGTCACCGCCACGTGGCAAAATAAAAGCAAGAAGTGCTGCATGCATGACTGCTATGCATATTGGCTGGAGGATAYTCTAAAAACATGTGCAACCTTTCATTTGACTTTCATATTTACAAGTTCTGCATGGAGGACACCATGGCTTTAGGAGATTCCRCTGCAGCTGGAAAATGTGTCACTCTCATGATGAAACCAGCATGCATTCACATTCAAATWATAGCTTCAGTTATACAAGACTAGACTAGTTCTGCCAGTGGAAAGTACATGCTTCTCCTTTGCTTTATATAAACCCAGTTTCAGATTTGCTTTTTTCCATCACAAATAAAAATTCTTCATAGAAAATGGCAGAAACACTCACTGAAGCAGACATTTGCATTTAGCAGACATTAATAAGAAAATTAAGGCCATTTTTTATGACTCAAATTTTAGATGCACCGTTTTAGCAAGTTCTACTAAAACACCAAGTTACCCCATTTTTCACTGCTCAAAGATTAATAATTTTCACTCTGACTGATCAGTTAACTCTTCTACTTTGCAAAGTCACATTAAATGAGAGATACAACTGTTGAAGGCCTACACAAACTAGCAGCCTCCAGCWATAAAGGAAGAGGAATTAAAAAAGGGGTGAGGTCTATAKCTATTGGACTGTATRATGTGGAAGCAGCCTTTATTTTATGCTGTGACTGCAAGAATCCMCTGGAGAAAAACCAGTCTGATCCTTGTTCCTTTCTTGGTAGATGTTGRGAGAGAAGAGATACACTGTTGGCTTAGTTTTAGTTCCAGAAGAACCACGTCTCAGATGTTTAATAGTTTCAGACTGGTTTTTCTTTTCAAAAATTCCTTAACAATTTTAAAGCTTCCCAGAATAGCAGATGGGTATTTTTAAAYTTACCTGACCTACTTCTCATTTCTATCATCAGCACTATGGCTCAAAAATACCAGTCCACAGTTTTTGTGCCCTGTAGCATGTTTTCTCCCATGGCACAAAAAAGCTTCCTATCCCACCTGAAGTGAAACACTCTATCTACAAGAACAGCACAAAAAATGCTTAGCATTCCCCAGAATCAAGTGGATCTGTTCAGGTAAACCATTTATTTAACAGTGCATAAACAYGAGGAAAATTAAGAACTATATTAATTCGTGCTAAAATTTCAGGAACAGGCAAGATAAAAACATGGGCAGTAGAACTGTAAGACAAAGTTGCAACACAAAAGTTTAGTTATTCTGCCTTTGCTGAGGGAAGGCAGACCAATGGCGGTTGTATGGCTCCAGTAGGGCTAATCTGAGGAATAATTGTATTTGATGCTGGCTTCCTCTCTCCTGGCAGCCAGGAAAGGCTGTCAAGTGAGCAGCCAGGGGCAGCTTGTTCTCACATCAATAATCCCACTTGACCCACAGCACATTTTAAAATTCTCACTGGCASTAATGGAGAGACCCAAATTGCTCAGTTTCATGCCTGCTGTGTGCAAGTGTGCTAGAGATGCAGGCTGACAGCCACACTGTTAAATCCACCTGCATGAACCAAACTGTGACTGAAAAGTGACTGCAAGCATTACCACACATCTCTCTAAAAAATGAAATTACAAAACCAAACTGGAATCTTAACATCATGGTCAACATTTACTCCTTCAAAGGGAGTTTGACACTGACATTATATAGGCACTACTTCAATATTATCCACAAAAGAACCACCTCCCTTGTAATACCAAGGTAAAGTTTCTCAATCTTATCTCCCCAACAGTAAAAAAGACTTTTCATTTAATGCAATGTTTACATTTAGTTGAGTGAAAGTAATTAGCTCTCAGGCACTAACACTGTAATTGCAGCTGACAACTTTCATTATAATCGTATCATCACTTTCCCACTGAAATAGGAAGTCTCACAATCTGCCAGCTCTAGATACAGTATTGAAAAATTCCCCAGTGTAGCACCTATAAACCCATGAGCTGGCTGAACCACTCTCTCTCACTGTAGGCTAAAAGCCAATGGCCACATGGCATCTATCTAGGACAGCAAATTTCCTGCCTCTCCCCAGACAGGAGATTTGTCAGATCTGGCTGAGCCTGCATCTTCAGAGGAGCTGCATCAGTGCTCAATAGGGAGGGGGGCAAGGGGAGTGCAAAAAAGGATCTCTCTTTAAGGCTGCTTTAAAGGAGCTCTGACCTTGCTTTAAAAGCCCCTGACACATGATATGGAGTCTTTGTTCTGCCATTCACGTTTTGGAGTCAGATCATGAAACYTGTGCYGAGGCTCACCATTTGCCTACGAGCATATTTAGAATAGAGCCAAAACAAGCAYGAGCATGGCACTATCTTCACCAGCATCACATCTGCTATGCTGTGCTACTGTTCAGGCTCCATCACAGAGAGGGACAAGTTGATAAAACAAACAGCAGATATTTGTACAAGAAAAGTACTCCAGAATCCTTCAAAAAGCAGCAGAAACACCCACACCCACAGCTCTCCTGGCTCCTCAGCAATATTCACAGAGACAAGCAGCAGACARTAACAACATCCCTATCAGTGGTAAACAATGCACAAAATTAGGTATATGACATTCAAATAACCATCACAAACTTCCTATTCACACATTTGTAAAGTCCTTTCAAAATACTATAACTATTACATTGAAATTATTTTGAAAAAAAGCACTGCTTGCATTAATGGCTCTAGAAACAAGTCCAGATGAAGCAGCACAATATAGATGGACAAATGTACCTTTCCACCTTACCTGATATTTATTTCCTCTATCTTTTCTCTTTAATAAACAAATCACCCAAAATGCACACATCTCCCCTGTGATATAATGCAGTTGTTTTCCCTGCAACTGAAATTAGTGCAGAAAGTACAAGTAAAATAGTACCTTTGTGGTGGTTGCACACACTGACCTCATGCTGTATTTATATAAAACTTTCAATACACTGCCAATTCCTTTGAAGTCTGTACTAACTACATTAAATTAATGGTTTACTGTACCGTCTAATGATGTACTCTGCAAAACAGGAGGCAGAAGAAAAATTTAAAATACTTATACAGATTTTATAATACCTTTCTAATAGCTGTTTTACATTCTTGATGAAAGAAAGGCAGCAGTCAATTTTTTTTGGACACACAAACCCAGAATTTTACTAAAAAGTAAAACCACATAATCAAATACTTGATCTCATTCCCAGATCTCCACAGACTCTAGAAACAACTTCTGCCAGGAAAAATCATAGAAACATGCTCCTGCACAGAACTACAGCATTTACCACAGGCAATGGAACAAATGACCAGAGTGAGTCTGACTGCCAGTATGGGAAGAGACTTCAGCACTTCTCTTCATGGGAAGGACAGGGGCTCATATCCCCACAAAGT